AGCGACATCTGAACCTCCAAAAGTGGTCCGAACCCCTGGTGTTTTTAACATTTTGACTTCGAAATGTGCTTCGCGCCACAACGGTGTGCACTTTTTCGACATGGCAACTTCCAAATGTGGTCCGACGCTGAGGTGTTTTGTACATTTTGACTTCGAAATGTGCTTTGCGCCACAACGGCCTGCACTTTTTCGACATCTCAACTTCCAAAACTGGTCCGGAGCGGGTGTGCTTTGTACATTTTGACTTTGACATGTGCTTCGCGCCACAATGGCGTGCACTTTTTCGGCATCTCAACTTCCAAAAGTGGTCCGAGCATGGTGTGTTTTGTACATTTTGACTTGGAAATTTTCTTCGCGCCACAACGGCGTGCAATATATTCATCTCTCATGTAGCCAGATGGCTCCGCACCCGCCGCTTTAGCGAGCCTACTTTTCGACCCTCCGGAGCCATAAATCATTGGAAAAACAGAGTGTTTCGCGACTTTCCTACCTTTTCGCGCACCATGATCTTCTTTCTTCTGAGACTTTCTCTTCTCTGATCTTCTCTCTTCTACTCTTCTCTTCTCTGACTCTGCCCATCTCTGCTTTTCATCTGTCCATATTGTCGGAAGTTTGACTTCTAAACTTCCTTCGACCATACATGGATCCTATGGGTCATGAAAGCCATGGTTTTCAATGGCTTCAAGGAACATCGAAACCGGCAAACCATTGTGTAAAATGCATCAAGATGCATCAAATATGGGGAGGTTCCTGTTTTTCCCTGAACCCAATCCCATGAGGTTTGTCTAAGGGAACAAAAAAAACATAAAAAAAAACAAGTTTTATGGTTGATCACCATTTGTGGATGTTCTCAAGACTCGGTGTATCCCACCCACGTTACATGGGATGTTCAGGGATATGGTCATCCCATTTTGGGCCGTATGTGGATCCCTAAAAATGGATTGATGACCCATCCCCCAAGGACTCTAGGGCCGTGCCTCATGGAACTCAGGTCATGGAACTAATATGGAGCTTCTGGGGTCTGTGTGTGTGTCACAACGTGCATCACTTCCAGCTCCGCAGAATGTTCGAAACTCCAGAAGACTGAACTGCTTTCACCTGGTTTCATAAAGAAACTTACATTTTCAGAGTATCATCTGATTGAAAGACTGAAGCATCCATTTCACCTGGTTTCATAAAGAGTATCCCGAAGACTGAAGACGCCGAAGACGTCTGGTTTTTTCTTGTAGAAGATCCACAACAATCTCAACAATTAATGTGGTAAACCTAACAAATATACCTCTATTATGGGGATGGTTTATTGTTGGGTTCACCACATTTATCCAGGTGTTGATCACTCTGAAATTTGGACCAAGAAACGCACTGCGCCCACTTGCCCTTCCGCGACGCCGGACTCCTGTGGCGCCGGTTTTTCCTGTGGCGCCGGTTTTTACAGTGGCGCCGGTTTTTACGGTGCTTCTGCTGCCAAAGGTATGGCAGCTGTAGCGCCCAGACCTGCTACGCATGGTCAATCGAGGTACCGCCTCGGTGTCTGGGGGAGAAGATACCAATGGGGACGATATGTTTTTTTAATGTGTTGAAATGGATTCTGGATTTTAGGATATTTGAAGGGATATAATATACCTTAAGTTTGTTCGAAGCAATTGAAGTTGTGACAGCGTCGCAGTTTTCAAGAACTGCCGCATAAGCCTGTCTGAAACCATAGATCAGAACACCATTTGCAATGGAAAACCATGGAAAACATCTTATTTTGGATCTGTTCCCACAAGAGAATGGCAAAAAATGGCCACCTCCCGCACCCAAGCGCATGGTGATCGTCACTGATGCTGTGCATTTCTTGGATTGGTTTGGATGGAATCCACACAATATCCTCTTAGACACCACTTCAACAAAGCATCCTAAAGCTAATTATATTTATTACCGTAAAATAGCATGTATATATAATATATAACATCTATTTTCTCCCATTCTCATCCATCTTCCCATCATCTCCATCCTTTCACATCGAGGAACCTCTCCATCCGTTCCTGTGGACTTCGTTGTGATGCGCGGCACGAAGCCACTGACGCGGCCGCTGGCGCGCGCCTGGCGCGCCTGGCACGCCTGGCTGCCGCGTAGCGCCTGCGAGCTGCGCGGCGGGCCCTCCGAGGTGCGGGCGGACCTGAGGCGTGTGCTGGGGTGCTGGGGTTGAACTATGAAGCGAAAACATGACTTAAGACGAATTAATATATATATATATAATATATATATATATATAAATATCATATTGACATCAATATACAGTATATTGTATATACAGTATAATATACTTTGATTGGTATGTGATGTACATAATACCTGGAAAAACCAAACGGCAAAAAAAAACGCCTCGGAGGGTCTGCGGCGCCTCCAGTTGATCTGAGGCATTTTTGCTTTGCTGAGGCATTTTTTGTTTTCTGAGGCGTTTTTGTTGTAATCCTTGTTTTTCACTGTTTTTCCCTTTTCTCTGCTCTAGATTGTTCTGGGATGGGTATATGACAGCGGACATTTCTTTGATTTCAATACCTGCGAACGCAAAGCCTTGGCTAAATCCAATTCCAAATCTCAATAGTGTAAATCACTTAAAACTGGGGGCGTAGCTGCTGCGTGGCTAAAATCTGTCAGCGAGACTGTCATTGCCCACAAAATGCTGTCTCACTGGACTTGTTCCCCACCTGCCAGGTGAGGGTTGTTAGATTTTATCAGAGCTGTTCTCCTCCTCCTCCGCCTCCTCCTCCATCTCCTCCTCGTCCTCCTCCTCGCAGTCCAGATCCCAGTGGCCTGCGGGCAACAGCCGGACCGTCCACCGGACTGCTGCGCACGTCAGCTCACAGACTGTCCGCAGTGGTGGGGTCACGAGCTCCAGATCCCAGTGGGCACTGCCGGACCTCAACGGCCAGATAGAATGCCAGAAGATATGCCAGATAGAATGCCAGAAGATATGTCAGATAGAATGCCAGAAGATATGCCAGATAGAATGCCAGAAGATTTGCCAGAAGATATGCCAGAACATCTGCCAGAAGATATTCCAGATAGAATGCCAGAAGATATGTCAGATAGAATGCCAGAAGATATGCCAGATAGAATGCCAGAAGATTTGCCAGATAGAATGCCAGAAGATATGCCAGAAGATATGCCAGATCATATGCCAGAAGATATGCCAGATAGAATGCCAAATAGATTGTCAGAAGATATGTCAGATAGAATGCCAGAAGATATGTCAGATAGAATGCCAGAAGATATGTCAGAATATATGCCAGAAGATATGCCAGATAGAATGCCAGATTGAATGCCAGAAGATATGTCAGATAGAATGCCAGAAGATATGCCAGATAGAATGCCAGAAGATTTGCCAGATAGATGCCAGAAGATATGCCAGAAGATATGCCAGATCATATGCCAGAAGATATGCCAGATAGAATGCCAAATAGAATGTCAGAAGATATGTCAGATAGAATGCCAGAAGATTTGCCAGATAGAATGCCAGAGATATGCCAGATAGAATCCAGAAGAATAATTGCCAGATAGAAGCCCAGAAGATATGCCAGATAAATGCCAGGAAAAGAAGTCAGAAGAATGTCATCAAGAATGTCGAAGATCTGGCCAGATAGAATGCCCAGAAGATATGCCAGATAGAATGCCGAAGATATGCCGATAGAATGCCAGAAGATATGCCAGATAGAATGCCAGAAAGAATGTCAGAAAGAATGTCAGAAGATATGCCAGATAGAATGCCAGAAGATATGCCAGATAGAATGCCAGAAGATATGCCAGATAGAATGCCAGAAAGAATGCCAGAAACAATGTCAGAAGATATGCCAGATAGAATGTCAGAAGATATGCCAGATAGAATGTCAGAAGATATGCTAGATATGCGAGATAGATGGGGAGGTCGAGAGAAGATGTGCCAGATAGAATGTCGGAAAGAATGTCAGAAAGATGTATATCTGACACAGTTGCCAGCAACGGTGGAAAAATGATGCTGCTCTTTGGTGTCCTTCGGCCAGGTTGCGTATTTAGATATTTCTTTCCAGAGCTGTGGAGTATGTAGCTATATATGCCATGGTGGGGATCATTCGAAGTGAAGTAATTTGTTGCTTTTTGGCATTTGCAGCATGTTTCCAAAAGGCAACAGAAGTGAATACGACAAAAATTGTTGTCATGAGAAAAAACAAAGGTAAACCAGGGAAAACACGGAAAAACTGAAAATTCAGAGGACAGAAAACGGCGGAAAAGGGCGGGAAAACGGCGGAAAAGGACGGACTCTGAACATGGAGGTCCAAATCTTGCCGGAAACATGCCCAAAAGGTTGTATCACGGATTTTGAGTCTTCTAGTTTTCTTTTGCCGTGAAATTTTGTTGAAAGCTGCAATCCAAGTGATTCAATGTCGATGAAAGCCAACGCTTCAAATGTGCAACTATGAACACATATATATACTGTATATACTGTATATACTCTAGGGCTTGTTTTCTGCATTGTTTCTCTTGCAGCGTTCATTACATAGGGAAATCATAAGAATTCCTTAGCAGTACGTGCGGCTGTTTGTCAGGGGTTTGGTCCCTAGTTGTGGGCTTTGCAACTGAAAAGTCGCCATGGCGGGAGTCCTAGGGCTTTGGTAAACTCTTGTGTTTGAGGCGTTTTTTGCTTTCCAGAGGCGTTTTTAAACCACCAGAGGCAAAACAAAACTCATGCGGCGTTATTTTTCGCCTCGGGGGCCTGAGGCATTTTTTTCTGCCTCTGGTGTTTCTAGGTATATCAAACATGTTGACATCGCCAGGTGATTCTCCCAATTAAAACCTCCATGTACAAGGGTTTTCACATTGCAATGTTTCCTCACGGGTACTTGTAGGTTTGACTCATTTTGACTCAAAACACGGTACCGCACTGTCATTATATATCTGTTATATATCTGTTATATATCTGTTATATATCTGTTATAACAGATATATCTGTATCCCTGTATCCCCTTTCAGAGACACCCGACTGCATGTGCTTTGCCATGCGCCATGCGACGTTGGTGTATGGTTTTTCTCGCTCGTTGGCGCTGCCGCGCTGCTTCGGGCCAAAGCTGCACCCACGGGTTCGATCGTTTTCTCATCCTTTTCGTCCTTGATGTCCTCGACCTGCAAGACGTCTAAGACTTTAGCCCTCCCCCCAAAAAAATACAGGAAAAAAATGGAAAAAACAGAGAAAATAAATATGATGTTCATCATCAATATTTTCCTGCAATGATGTTCATCATCAATATGGAAAATATGAGAAAATCACAGGAAAACAAAACAGACGAAACAAAATGGCTGATGAATGTTGATAATCATGTTCCAGCCCTAAAAAAAATTGCATATGATTTCCCATCCATTCTTCGCGATGTTCGCTCACCTGAAGGCTATCCGCTGGCGGCGCCGCAGCACTGGGTTCTTCAACTGCTTCAGGCTCATCAACAGCACCGGGCAATGAAGGGGCTTCATTGACTTCCTTTGTGGCTGCCTTGGTAGTTTCCTTGGTGGTTTCCTTTGTGGTTTCTTTTGGTGCTGGGACCACAGTGGCAAAGCCTTTCTCTGCATCTAACCCTTCAGTTTCATCCAAGACTTCATCCTTCGGTGAGAAAAAGACTTCCCGGAAGGAGTTTCTGCACGCTGGCTGAATGATCAAAATCAGCAGAAGCGTGCCTTCACAAACGCTGTGGTAGATTGAAATACCAAACCACCCCGCGAAGTCGAAAATGAATCCACCCAGCGTACAACTGAGTGCAACCGCAATGGTGAAGACTGACAGCACCGTCGATGAGGCCTGTCTGGCCTGGATTTCTGATTGACCAAAGGTATCAAAAGCTATGCCTTCCACAGCACACGTTGGGTCGATACCCTGCACTGCGACAATCTGAGCGCAAACGGCCCACTCGGTGGTCGGGTAAAGCATGCCTATCAGGAGTTGCTCCAAAAACATCCCAGGTAGCCATCTGTAATTTGGGAAATAAAGAGGTAAAAAATATAAAGATATGTATATTATATTAATGTGGTTAAAACACTAATAAACCATGCCCCAAATCACCATAAATAGGTGGTGTAAACCATTCCCAAATGGGTTGGTTATGATTGTTTTAACCACATTATGCAGGATGGTTCCAAAACGGTTCAGGAATCTAAACCGCTGCACATAAGGAACCGAACCGGTCCGGAATCGGAAAAAATCGAATCGTTTGGAATCGAATCGGATTGAATCGACCAGGATTTTAAGGAACCGGAACACAACAATAATTAAAAATCGAATCAAACATGAATCGGTAGGTTGCTTGAACCGAATCGCCCCGAATCGATTTTCAAGGGGAACCGAATCGACGGGAATCGAGGCCATGCATACCCGGGATCATATATATATATATATATCTTGGATGTTTGTATTGGATTGAGCCACGCAAGTGCTTGAGATAATTATTGCACAAGCCCGCCACCCGCCATTTTCCGTCACGGCCCTTTTCCGTCTCTACATCAGCGGATCCCTCCATAGCCTGGATCTTCGTCCTGGCGCGGCCAAGATAAAGTAACGGTTAAATTACATGATCTGGTATGTGAAGACAATTCGAAAATACGAACGATGAGGAATTTAATCTCAATCTATTGGGAAATGAAACCTATTTTGCTACAACAAGAATACTGTAATTTGAACAATAATGTCCACAAGGCGAATTGAACTATTATATGACTATGAAGGTACGGACGATTGGCTATGAACCCTGGAAAATCCAAGGGCCATCATGATTTCCATCTAAATATATCTCTTTCCACCACCAAGTCACGTTTGTAGATTTTAACAGGTTTCAGACTAGTTTCAAAGCAGTTTCAGACCCCTAGAAGGGACAGGTTTGAGGTGTAGGTATGTAGCTAGGTAGCTAGGTAGATATGTAGGTAGGTATCTATGTACCTATGGATGTATATATGTAAATAAGATATGTCTGTATGTATGTATATAACCAATCCTACTATAGAATTCTGTCCACGTAATACAACTGAATCGTATCATGTTGAGCCTATTGTATTCCGGACGATTAGCTACGAACCGATGCCTGCAGATTATGATTTACGTCTTTCAGTCCTAAGCGGGCGATTGCATCACCATTATGGCCAACATTTGTGTTACCTGCCCTCGAACACCAAGGGCCAAAAGCTACCATCGGTAAAATTATGTAAACTTGCAACCCATATGATCTATATATCTGGTAGGCAATGGCACGTACCAACGGACATCCTTGTTATTGTCCGCTTCGGATCTTTGTTATGCCTCCTCTGCGAGCCGCCAACTACGCTAGCGAGCGCACCTGCACTGTGCACCAAGTGTTGGTGGCGAGTCAGAAGGAAGGAGGCGATCCAGGTACCTACCCGGCTGCTTTGCTGGTTGCTGCCTTGACCCCAAAGTGACCATTGGCAGTAAACATATATATACATATATAGTTTGTTGGGAATCAGTTATAAGAATGTACAAGTGGAAGTCCTGAACTCATCGAATTATTAGGAGCGTTACTCTAAAAAGTAGTGTATAAATATGTAGGTGTTAACCATTGAATCACCTTGCCGGTCTGTAGATAAGCTTTAAACTGTGTATCTACCACAATTGGTGTAGAATCATCGGTGAAACTGAAAGCGTGTGGTGCCACAAGAAAATAGTTTGAAACAGGTTTGAAACTAGTTTGAACCCCGGAAATTTTGCTCAATTCCGTCCATCCATCCGACCCACGTCTTCAAAATCCATTCAGGCAAGCCAGCGTGTGAGCCACATTCACTTATACGACATCGGTGGATCAACCAATGATTCTAATCACTTATCATGAACTGCTATCAATCCATCATTCTAAATATGCATCAACCAAATATGCGCTGCTTGCCCTGGAATGCCACGGGCCAAAGGAAGAGAAATAATCATGGTAGATTGGAATTCCATATGTTATTCTGTAGATTGGAATCCCATATGCTACCCATTTGGGGGGTAATGGCAAATGCAAGAAACGCGAAGCTATGGGATGCAATTACTACCCACTTGGGATCTTTGGTATCCATCCTCACCCAAACACCAGCTAGCGAGCGCACCTGCACTGGCACTATGCACCAAGTGTTGGTGGAGAGTTTGAAGGAATGCAGCGATCCAGGTACCTGCACGGCTCCTGGTTGCTTGCTTGACTCGAAAGCTATCATTGGCGGTATATGTAAAAAATGGTTCTCACGATCCCATTCTTCCCCAAATTTGTGTTGCCTGCCCTAGAATGCCAAGGGCCAAAGGAGACACCATCATGCATCCCCTTTCAAAATGTAGACGGAACAGACAGCATGCGGCATCAAGCAAAAGCGTCTGAAACCGGTCTGAAATCAGTCTGAAAACAATCAATCGATCACGCAGTGCACTTTCTTATGGGGGTTTCCAATTATCCAACTCGGATTCGGAAGCTCCATCTATGTTGTTTTTTGGGACTGAAACAGGTCTGAAACTCATTGGAACCACCAGTCCCGCCAGCGATTCGGACCCGTGCTGCTACGTAAGTGTCATGAGTGTTGATACCTAGGCGACATTACTGACTCAGTGCTAATCTCACTAGTACTGATTAATACTCAGATAACCAAAATTCGCGTGTGTCCAAGATGAGCCGTAGATGAGCCGTATACTGGCCGTATACAGCAGAAATGCTGCGTTCTAGTCGGTTCTAAGGCTTCACCAAGATGAGCCGTATACTTGCCGTATAGAGCAGAAAAGGTAGTTGAAATCTACCTGAACTCAGCATGTCTGCTGTATACGGCTAGTATACGGCTCATCTTGGTCAAGCCCTAGAACTGACTTGAACTCAGCATTTCTGCTGTATACGGCCAGTATACGGCTCATCTACAGGGCTTGACCAAAATGAGCCGTATAATAGCCGTATACAGCAGATATGCTGAGTTCAAAAGAGTTCCAGAGCTTGACCAAGATGAGCAGTATACCAAATTCGATTCTACACTCATGATGTAGTTGAAATCTACCTGAAACCAATTACATCCGTACCTGGAGCCGCGTTTGCGGATCCCGGTACGGACGCAATTGATTTCCGATGAATATTCTCTTTGTTCTTTGTCAAAGGGATCTATCTCAATGGTTGCCAAACGGATGGATGCTCTCCATGCTTTGCTTTCTAAGGTTTCAAGGTGATTTCAAACTGTCATACAATTAAAAACTAATTGAAACCAGCTTGCCCATGTGAAACCAGTTTGAAAGCAGTCTGAAACCTTAGAAAGCAGCACTTGCAGAGCATCCGTTTGGGACCTTCTCTGCTGTATACGGCTAGTATACGGCTAGTATACGGCTCATCTCGGTGCAGCCTTAGAACCGACTAGAACTCAGACTTTCTGCTGTATACGACCAGTATACGGCCCATCTACGGCTCATCTTGGACACGCGCGAATTTTGGCTAGCTAAGTATTCATCCGTATTAGTGGGATTAGCAATGAGTCAGTAATGTCACCTAAGCTAGTTATCAACACTCATGACACTTACGTAGCAGCACACGGGTCCGAATCGCTGGCGGGACTGGTGGTTCCAATGAGTTTCAGACCTGTTTCAGACCCAAATAACAACCTAGATGGAGCTTCCGAATCCGATTTAAAGGAAATCTACCTGAAACCAATTACGTCCGTACCTGGAGCTGCTGTATACGGCCAGTATACGGCTCATCTACAGGGCTTGACCAAAATGAGCCGTATAATAGCCGTATGCAGCAGATATGCTGCGTTCAAACGAGTTCCAGAGCTTGACCAAGATGAGCAGTATACCAAATTCGATTCTACACTCATGATGTAGTTAAAATCTACCTGAAACCAATTACATCAGTTCCAATTTAACCGAATTACAAACGGCTACATAGCAACCCTGCATAGATACATATATTACGGCTACATAGGAGCTCTAGCTTCCTAGGGTTTCCAAGTGGTTTCAAAGCAGTTTCAATGTTTTTTTCATTTTGGTTTGAATTTAACAATGCTGGTAGATGCAGGTTTGAATTAAAAACGCCTACATACCAAAGCTACATAGATACATACATACACACCTGCATACCTACATGAGTGCAGCCGTAATTCGGTAGTATTGCAATCGTAATTGGATCTGCCGAATTACGATTCCAATTTAACCGAATTAAAAACGCCTACATACCAAAGCTACATAGATACATATACACACCTACAAGTGCAGCCAAAATTCGGCAGTATTGGCATCGTAATTGAATATGCCGAATTGCGATTCCAACTTAACCGAATTGCAAACGGCTACATAGCAACCCTGCATAGATACCTATATTACTACAAACATACATACATACATAAAGCACCTACATACCTACATATGAGCCAGAGCTTCAGAGCTCTAGCTTCCTAGGGTTTCCAAGTGGTTTCAAAGCAGTTTCAATGTTTTTTTCCTTTTTGGTTCGAATTAAAAAAAAGGCTGGTAGATGCAGGTTTGAGTTAAAAACGCCTACATACCAAAGCTACATAGATACATACATACACACCTACATACCTACATGAGTGCAGCCGCAATTCGGTAGTATTGGAATCGTAATTGGATCTGCCGAATTACGATCACCGGCTAGAAACAAATCAATGGATTTTGCTTGTCGGGGCCGGGTTCGGTCCGGATTCGCTGCAAGAGATCTGTTCGAACTTACTTTCTACCTACTTTCTGCTTGAGATCGCCTACATTCCTGCCCGTTTTCTGCTCAAGAATCTAGGACAAGAGAGATCAGAGGAGGGGTGCTTAACCACGCTCAGTGTGTGTGGAGGTCACATGGCTGCTATTAGAGGTGTTCACCGGCTAGAAACAAATCAATGGATTCTGCTTATCGGGGCCGGATTCGGTCCGGATTCGCTGCAAAAGATCTGTTCGAACTTACTTTCTACCTACTTTCTGCTTGACATCGCCTACATTGCTGCCCGTTTTCTGCTCAAGAATCTAGGACAAGAGAGATCAGAGGAGGGGTGCTTTACTACGCTCACTGTGTGGAGGTCACATGGCTGCTATTAGAGGTGTTCACCGGCTAGAAACAAATCAATGGATTCTGCTTGTCGGGGCCGGATTCGGTCCGGATTCGCTGCAAGCGATCTGTTCGAACTTACTTTCTACCTACTTTCTGCTTGACATCGCCTACATTGCTGCCCGTTTTCTGCTCAAGAATCTAGGACAAGAGAGATCAGAGGAGGGGTGCTTAACCACGCTCACTGTGTGGAGGTCACATGGCTGCTATTAGAGGTGTTCACCGGCTAGAAACAAATCAATGGATTCTGCTTGTCGGGGCCGGATTCGGCCCGGATTCGCTGCAAGAGATCTGTTCGAACTTACTTTCTACCTACTTTCTGCTTGAGATCGCCTACATTGCTGCCCGTTTTCTGCTTAAGAATCTAGGACAAGAGAGATCAGAGGAGGGGTGCTTAACCACGCTCACTGTGTGGAGGTCACATGGCTGCTATTAGAGGTGTTCACCGGCTAGAAACAAATCAATGGATTCTGCTTATCGGGGCCGGATTCGGTCCGGATTCGCTGCAAAAGATCTGTTCGAACTTACTTTCTACCTACTTTCTGCTTGACATCGCCTACATTGCTGCCCGTTTTCTGCTCAAGAATCTAGGACAAGAGAGATCAGAGGAGGGGTGCTTAACCACGCTCACTGTGTGGAGGTCACATGGCTGCTATTAGAGGTGTTCACCGGCTAGAAACAAATCAATGGATTCTGCTTGTCGGGGCCGGATTCGGTCCGGATTCGCTGCAAGCCTCTCAGAATTCTCTTGGATGAGGTCCAAGCTGCCCTGGAAATCCAAGGGGCAAGTTCCTTTTTCACCAAGTTGGTTTTCAAAAAAAGCCTTTCACCCAATCGTGCTGCAAACAAATAGACTGACTTAACACAATGGACCATTTTACGAATGTGTCTCTAACTTCTAGATATGTTATACGTGGGCTCATCTCTCACACTGAACTTATCTATATATATAACTGAAAATCTAAGATACGAATATCTATGATGTATATATGTGTATTGTTTTTGGCAACGGCTCCTATATATATATACAACACCTGTATACCGGAAAACAAACTTGCATTCCAAACATGTCCCTTCTGAGTGTTTGAAACTGGTATGAAACTCCTCTGAAACCTCATCCGAGGCTTCGATTGTGCCCACTGCGGAGAGGAAAGCCAATCATACAAAAGACTGTTTGTTAGAAATGAACTCACTTTTCCATCACCGTCCATTGTATTCGGGGGGTATTGGGATGTGCATTCGATATTATTGGCATCATAATTAGATTTGTAGAATTACGGCTCCATGTCGCATTCCACATGCCTACGTACGAAGCCTTGAACCCTATGCATCCATATGCAAAAACACATAGATCCATACATGCATCCTATCATACATATGTACCTAAGTACCTACATGCCTACATAGCATAATCTAACCCTTCTGCAGGTCTGAAACTGTGAATTTTGCCCTGGATATCCGAGGTGCATCATAGAAGCTTTGAATTCCACACAAGTTTGCTGGACCGCAAATGTTCCCACGCCTGTCAAAGATCCAACGTTCCTAGGGATCGCCGCGGCCCGCCGCCCGAAAAGGCTGCGAGAAGCTGCTTTTGTTTCAGAAATGTAAACACGTATATTTCTATATGAATAAAATGTAAAATTTTATATTTATATATGAATATATATATATATTATTTATGTATATTTAAATATATAATATATATTCATATATAAATTAATATCTACATATATTTATGAATATATGTATGTATGTCTCCTTATGTATGTATTTGTATGTATATATATAAATAAATAAATAAATAAAAATAAATAAATAAATAAATAAATGTATATTGAAAAAGAACCGTAAGCTATCGAATCGAACCACGAATGGAAACGCAAGCTATCGAATCTAACTTGAATGACGAATCCAAATCGGAAATTGAATCGCAAGCTAACGAATTGATATTAATCAAGAATCGCTTACTAACGCCCATACTCCCCGCAGGACTCGAATCGTTCCGAATCGAATCGTTAATCGAATCGCACTAGGCGGAATCGAAGGCCAATTCTCAGGGAATCAATTCCTTCTGTAAAAAATCGAATCGAAATCGCCAAAAACGAACCGGGACCACCCTGATTATGTAATATTACATATAGAGAGAGAAAGTAAAATATAGAAACATATGGTAAACTGACCATAGATTCCATCAATTTCCCTTGCCTATGACTGCAAAAGCTAAGTGGATGACATTCAAAGGGACGATGAGCCAATAGCCAGTGTAGAGCTGCATTTGCTGCGTGGTCCTGAGGTGCTACCACCAAACAGATCCAGTCCGACTGCGTCAGTTTCATGTCGCCCAGTTGAAAATCAGTTTAGGGTTGTTTCCCATAGGATCCATGTATGCTATATATGGTAACATTTACCATCAATATACCCCCTTTATCCCCCTTTATGTTAGCATATATACCATACATGGATCCTATGGGTTTAGCATGTTAAGGCAAGGATCATGCGCAAAATGAAACCAATGGTCACTGCCAAACCAGCTGTGACCAGGGACCAACCCTGCTGGTCGAAGTGCAAAGTGTACGCTGGCCAAACGAAAGCATTGAGAGCGCCATTCAATGCAGGTAGACACACGCACACAAAGGCGTAGTTCAAGGTGCAGGGAAGTTGCTCACCATCCTGGTCATCAAAATCCGCATCATCCCAATCATCCCAAAGCTCCTCAACGGCCTGTTGATCTCCCATTCACTTGGCTGCGGACCCCATTGATACCATTGATGTTTCGAGTTCCGCTTCAGCCGAAACCCAACTTGCGAAAAACCGCGGTGTGGAAGGAGACTTAGACTTTCTTGGAGACACCTGGAGAACTCCACCTTTCAGAGAAATGTCAGTTTACACGTTCCAATCCCAAACTTGGTCTACATCTACTTTAAGGGAAATCTACACCAAACCCTATCTAAAATATAATCTTGCAAAGTCCATAGTTTCTGGTTGGGATTTTCCCAACAGTTGAACCATAATCCATTGTTCCAACGAGCGGGTTCACTTGTCGAAAGTCGGCTCCTCGAGTCGTCCATCATGTTAATATATTTCAATATGTTCTTAAACAGCATATACGTGTATATGTTCGAAGATGTTCGAAGTTCGTATTCATGTTTTATCAACTATAGATCCATTATGATCCATTGAACATCATTTAACATCAGGTCATCAACTGAAACGCCATCGCTCTTCAGCCAGCCTGGCCTTCATGCCAGCAAATCGAGCGGATTGGCCATCGCACAAAACGACCTGATTGATATAAGATTGCTGATTCTGGGTCATGGATAATATTATAATAATATCCAGTAATCATATATTATGATATATAATTCCAGTACCTGCAATATTATAATCTTAAGATCCTGATTCCGATAGCGTGACATGGGACGTGATCGAATACGCAATCTGACAGACTGACAGTCCAGTTTCTAGTCCAGTTTCTGCACTTCTGGATTCCTTGGACTCCAGCAGTTTCTGGAGCTCTGTCTCTACGTTGAAGGGAAAATCGTTGACACCGGAAGTTCTGCTACAGCTGTAATTCTTCAAATCTGGGTGCAGTTTGTTTGTGTCGATCTGGCTGCAATCTGGCTTTCGAAATCAGGCCAAGTCAGATCCACAACATTCCACAACTATAATTGAACTTAAACTCTTTAGTGCTTCAAACATCTTCAAACTGTTGAGGTTTTCTAATCCTGACATATCCTGACGTCATGTGCTGCTTTCAATTCTGAGTATTTCTGAGTCACCTGAAGGGGGGGCAACGTCTGCCTGTACGTCTGCCATGTTGATGAAATCGGCCACGGGACGCCAATATCGACTGCGTAAGATTGGTGTGGGAAGTTCGAAACTGCGACTACATAGACCCAGAATGACTTGAAAATCAGAATGGATATGAATGGATTGAGAAATATTAAGAAACCAGCTGCAGAGCCCCAAAATTGCCGGGATGATCCAAGTTTTGTGACCACATCGCCCTCGCGATTTTTTCTTCTGTGGCCTCGCAGCCAGAGTTTTTTCAAGGACTGGCATAGCATGCCATGTGCCTTGGGCTCCAAGTTCTTGCCAAGCATAGCGGAGTGCCATGGATAGCCATGGGCCATGGATGGCTGTGCCTCACTGTACAGCTGGCGGCTAAGAAGGGCCTTGCGAAGCCCTAAGCCGTCGCAAGTGCCCTGGTTCATTAACATCGTGAAGCCCATCGGCTTCACTAATCAAGCACGCTGGCTGCACCTTGACAAAAGCAGAAACACAAAGGTAACACAAAGTTTTCTGCCCTTTCTACATGACACAAGAGTTTCTTTGAAAATAATTGAAACCCTTAGCAAGTTTCTTCATAGTGATTATCATGGCCATCAAAGTAATAAGATAACATGACATTCATAATGATATGGGCAAAACAATGCCATTTGCATCATCCCCCAGTCATCACCATTTTTATAGATGGTATGTTAACATATATGTTAACCATTCCCAGTCAGGGGTGGTTTATAGCATTGTTTTACCCACATTACTATAATTGATGCCATGACCACAATCATTAACCACTGATTATCCACCATTAACCCTTAATTATTGTTTTACCCACATTAATGGTTATACAATGTATATCCCATTGTATAAGCCCATTATATCCCATTGATTCTTATTGTTTACCCACATTATATTGATTAACCATTGATTTACCATTGATTATTATCAAACATTGATTAACCATTGATTATCCACCATGATTAACCATTAACCATCATTAACCATTCATTAATGGCATTGTGTTACCCACATGATATTTCACATAGTGGATACCCACCATTAACCATTGATAATCCACCATTCTCCACCATTGACCATAGTTTATCCATTAAAAAAAACATCATTAACCATAGTTTATCCATGAATAAACCATCATTCACCATCATTCACCATCATTAACCTCATTATTGATTATCCATCATTAACTATAAATCCACCATTATCCACCATTAACATAGGAGATATCCAGAGTTCTAATGGATTAACCATTGATGAACCATTGATTAACCATTGATAATCCATTTAGAATCCATTTAGAATCCACCATTAACTATACCCTCTGGTAAACTAACATAGCTATGGAAAATCATCATCTTGAATGGGAAAATTCACTATTTCTATGGCCATTTTCAATAGCTATGTTAGTTTACCAGAGGGTAGTTTAATACATAGGAGAAAGCCTATGGTGATCCAAGGCCATCCAAGGCTTCAAGATCCATCAAGATCCGAGAGGCCCCAAGCCACGGTGATGTCCGGATCGATCTCCGTGTGGAGACGCTTGGAGGACCTAACTTTGCCAAAACACAGATGTGAAAATAACATCCTGATATATCAGTATAGATATAGATATAGATATAGATATAGATATAGATATAGATATAATGTATCACATTGTATATATTGTATCACATATTTATTTAATGTCTATATTCATATAATTATATATATATATAATGTCATATGTAAATATATTGAATATATCAGAATCAATCAAAACAAAGTCTGAACACACTGAGCACACTGAACACATCCCGCCAAATCCATGGATTCCAGCCGGCCCGGCTTGAATAACGGCCGCCCGAGAGCATGGCCCAAAGAAGTCTTGCAACAGCTCTCGCAACTTGGGTGTGCGTGACCTTGCGAACAGGGGATGGGTGATGGAATGATGATGGGATCACCATGGGATTATGATGGGTTGCGAGTCGCAAAGGTTGGGTCAGAAAATCCAGTGGCACCAAAAGGGGGGATAATGATGGATAATGCGTTGCAGAAAATTCCAGAATGGTGGTCTAAACGGGATCTAAAAACTCCCCTACCATTGGAGGTCTAAATCGATTTGGGGTTGTGAAAATTTTTGAAAATTGTTGATCAACATTCCACTACCACATTGTCAACATCAAATATGTTCCATTGCACAACATTGCTGTTGTCAAGATCCCGTTGTGGCTCCCCACGCACCACCAACAAGCACCACGTCGTTGATGTAGTCCGTGGTCATCATCTGATCATCTAGGACCTGCATTGCTATATTTGTCAGTTCGTGTGAAAATAGCTTGCTCATGCTTACTCCCAATTCCCATGGATCAATATCTCATTCTCCCCACTTTATCCCATGATTATCCCATCTTTATACGGAGCAGTTGGAGCAGTTGGAGGGCCAAAAAATCACCGTCGACCCAGGTGTTTCAGCCAGCCTTTTGGACAGGAGCCATGGCGCGACTAAAGAGTTCGGAGGAAGCATCCTCAAACTCCTGGCGGCCAATGGCCTCAGTTGCGGATGATGAAAAACACCAAGCCGCGCTTGGATCGTAGGGAGAGGTGGATGACATTGGATGACAAGGATGAGAATTATCCCGACAAGGATCGTGGTACCGGATGATGGCAGTTGACGCTGAAAAAAATCCCTTGTCACACTGGCATATGCATTTACACTTCGCAACTGCACCTGTCGTTTTGCCTGAAATTGCCATTCCCAAGTCCGCTGCAAAAATCCGATCTTTTCCATCTGATGCACGACCTTACCAGCTTCTGATGCACATAAACAGCAGCTATCTCCAGCAGCTGCTGCAGCTGAGCTTCCGACATCTCGTCTCCACTTTTTGCTCGCTGCTTAAGCGGATCTTGGCATCCTCTGCCAGGATGTGAAGGCCAGAGCTTTCGCAGCTTTCCTGCCGAAACAACCACTGTGCTATGTCACCCGAAGAGCCTTCCATGTGTTTGGGCATAGAGTATTTATTGGTGTTAAGTCTGTTAAGTAAGATGGGAAGAATTCCCTGATCCGCGCCTTTGCAGTTGCCGAGTCCGCGATTTGTACATCACCACGTTCCTCCGCCAATGGCCAGAAAGAAACATGGCTTTTATCTCAGCGCAAAAAAAAACGTTCCATCCCATGGCTCATCATCATTTTCCCATGGTTCATCAAATGGGATAGACTCCCCATGGGTTATTCAATGACTATCTGGGGAGTCAAGGCATCGCTCAACTAGGCCTCTGACTAATTTCGACTCGAGTAGCCGTCGCATCCTCGGCTCTGAAAAACTCAAAAGACTGATGTTCCATAAAACAGAGTTCTACTTCTCAAAGTTCTTTGGATCTAAGTCACTCTAAATCATTCTAAGTGCCGAAAAAGGTGGAGAAAATGCTGATCAAATATAGTATAGTATTATATAATTATTTAGTATAATTTCTGCAGGATTCTGCACGATTTTCTCATTTTCTCCTGAAAAGAAATGGACGATTTCGACATTTCCTCCAGGCCGCTGAATATCAAAGTCGGACCCTCCGAGGTGGTCGTCTCCAGCCACACTCAGGACGCTCACCTCAGGGTCCCATTCAACACCCCATGGGAAAGTCCCATGGAAAATTTGGAAAATCTCAGGGGGATTATGGGATTATCTATGATTTATGATCTATGATTCTCTTCTCAAACCTCATCTTTTCTCCATTGAATGCCAAGTTCGATGAGAAATCGGGAGCCCATGTTTGTTCTCTTGCGGCCTGGTTGCAGCATTGCCATTCATATACAGCAAGGATGTGTCCAACGTACCCCCACCAATGTCGTAGACGAGAACCTTCAGCTCCGTTCTCATCTGAGAAAAGGGTGTGAAAATATGGCACGGACATTTGACAAGGTATCAGGTCTAAAAGTTTGTGTATGTTTAGATCTAGATTCTGCCATGTGCATTTATTGTTTTAAAGTTGGTCATCATTTGGTTCACAACTCGAGGGCCCATCCCCCATTTTCGGACAATCTCCCTGATATCGTCCATGAATTGGGGACCCTGAAGAGGGGTGATTGGGGGTATTGAATATGATTGGAGGATAGGATTATTCAAATCCCAAAGATACTTTGAAATATCCATTGGAAATATATCCCAATGTGGGTTATATATTGCTGGTTTCTTAAAAATTGGGGATCCCAAAAAAAACATCCCAAAACAGATCACCATAGGTTTCATTAACCGTTCAACAATGAAACAAGTCATGTTGGATGATCTGGGGCAGCCACCATTTTAAGAACCCCCCGGCTTGAGGAGATCTGAGAGGCTGGCATGTCTCACTCCTTCACCTCACCAGACGAGATGAAATCAGTGGAATGACCACCAAAATCCCAAGGTCTTTTCCATCAAAACCCAAAGCCTGGTCATTTTTTGATGGCATTCTTCAGGAAAATTACGTAGGTCACCATTCTTGATGTGTATTGAAATTATTTAATATGATATAGCATAATATTTAACCGATTTAACCCATCCCATTTTTGGAATCGTTTTGAGCCATGCCATGGCCATGTCACAGCCCCGTGTGGCACCTTTGTGGAGATTGTAGGCAATCGCTGCGGCCGTGGGTTCGTCCAAAATTCGCATGACTTTCATGCCAGCTCGTTCGAAGGCTTCTTGGGTGGCCTGGCTGCCGCGATTTTGAGATCCGGATCTTCCATGATTTCCATGGCTGCCATAATGGTGCTGCCACCTTCGTTTCTGGAAAGCCAAATTTTGCTGGGACCTCGGTGAAGCTTGAACTGCGAAAAAACTGCACCTTCCAAGTGTGGAAAATGCCCACCTAATGCCCACCTTTCTCTTCCAGAAATCTTGGTGGATGCTGAGGACTGCTCGCAAATGACGGCTCGTGAGATCTCGAAACCTGCTGTCGAAACTGCGCGGTTTCGGGGCGCCGGAGAAGTTCGCTGTTTGGCTCCAAACATCTCCGGATGCTGAGGATGTCTCCGAGATGTTGCGTGACAGAACGTCGCATGTGCGCCACCTCAACAAAGGCACGATATGGCACCATATATGGCACCATGGGAGAACCCGGGGATCCAAACAGTACCCTAAAATGGCTGGTATAGCTGGATGCTTATTCCACCAGTCATATGGTAAATTCATAGGTAACAAACGACCCACCCCCAACTGGCTGAGGTTCACACTACTTCTGCTCCTACATCAATCGGTGAGACCCACCTCTCTTTCTTGCCGTCGAGCTCAATGGCAAATCCAGCCTGGTAGCCGTTACGATCCAAGGATCAGGTCCGCTTTAGTGGTTTTAGTATGTTTTAGTGCCGTCTTTGGGTGTCTGAAAATGGGGATGCCCCCAAATGCTCATGTTTTTTTTTGCGGGAAAATGACGATAAAAAATGATCAGACGTCAATTTTTTTCAGGCTGGTTCCCCCTCTCAGCAAAGCTGAGCTTCAGCTAAGTGACCGGAGAAGCAAGGCTGGAGGCATTGGGTTCCCTGGAGTTTTCAGTGAAATTTCCAACCACCTGGAAGTGACGGAGCGGCAAGGTCAGCCATGGCGGTTCTGTCGGGACACACGGGAAACACCATCGGTTGGGATTCAAACCTATATATTAAACCTGGTACCGTGCGCGCGTCTCCTGAAACAAGCGGTTTCGCCGTTTCTGTGCCAAACATTGCCAAACTTGACCTGTCTTGACCTTGACCCTGACGTTTTGTGTTGTTGAGACTATCTTGTATACTGGTATATACCAATCATATATATTGCTGTGTGCATGCACGGCACGAGCACGACTCAAAGGCCAGATTAAAAAATATTAATTTACCAAATTGATTGGTTGTGTCGTATCCTTAGTGGTTATATCATGTTATATCCTTATTATGTGTGGTTATCTCCCTCGTCGTGTGCATTCCACCTGTTTATTGGTCTTGGCTTTACAAAGATGGAGAGGCTCGGCCCGGCTCGGCTCAAATCCCATGTGATTCTTGGGGTTGCATCTGCTATTTCCCAAGATGTACGACCCTGGCGTGAAGAAACTGGAGTCTAAAAATGTCTAAAAATGATGACTACAGGGAGCACCAAGATTGTGGGTGCATTGTGGGTCCATTAAATCCATTAAGCTATTGCTACTCCATGCTCAGGTCGCCCCAAATCAACGCAAAAAAAATACGCAGCGGCTTGGCCAAGCCACTCGGTACGCATGCTCTGCACTTTCGTGCGATACCTGGCCGATTTTTTGGTCAACGGTCGGGACATCCTTCATGTTCAGGTCTCCCGGGTCTGCTACGGAAAATCACTGGGTGTCATTTCAAAACACACAAAAAACCAATGGAAGTCACAGATGTTGACTGAAAATCCCAATGGCATACCACTGTTCAATATGATGTTCAATATTCTCATTGAAAATCCCGACTGGAACAGCAACTTCCACGGGAGTGAAAGTTCCGGCACCTCTCCCAGTTCCCGACCAATGAAGCGCTTGGCGTTGAAGATGGTTCGCTCCGGAGAGCGTCCTCTCAACGTGAGCCAATGGAGGATATGGTTGTTGTATGTTATTGTTATTCCATATTATCTTTAACAAAGAAAAATCAACTAAACAGACAATAGATTATGATTGATTGATGCGCAAAACAAATCTTTCCTAATCCGGTGTTTTTTTTCCAACCAAGGAATGGATGTGAACCAACACATTTCATCCAGCGATGACAAGGAAGGGATCCTCTTTGAGCTACCGCCACATCACCAACCAGCACTTTGCCGTCCGACTTGTAGGTCACCACTGACCTCTCAATGAGCCGCTCAGGCCTTCACGAGTTGCCTTCCGATTTATAGCCACTGTATAGATGGTGAATATCGTTGGGTACTCCATAGTTGGAGTCAAATATGTAAAACTGGTGAACATTTGGATCAAATGCCTAAAACCCAGTAGCAACTGCGCCCATGGAGAACTGCGTCAGTTTCTCTGCTGAGGTGAACACGGTAATAGCTGCTTGCCAGTGACATGGTCCGGAATAATCGAGACGGTCTGGCAGCAGAATTCAAGTATTCGGATGGGCAATTCAATTCGGCGGTTCTTGCCCTGTCTGTTGGTTTCCCAGATCCAAAGATCAACCGAAAACCTTAGATTATCATCTAGTTATTGAACATAGCCATGGAAAATGGCCCATTTATAGATGGTTTACCTATTAAAAATGGTGATTTTCCTGGGACTTCTAAGAAGGTCGGCTCCACGCCATCCGTTGCTTTCAACGCCACCACCGAAAAGGTGGTGCCCAAGTCGATGCCAACGACCTGCATTTAGGCCGATGTCGGATGATGTCGGGATGGGATAGGATGTGTAGAAAAGATCATATAGAATGGTATGTCCCATATACCCATAGGATCCATGGTGCTGGTATATATGATAACATGGATCCCATCAATATACCCCCTTTTTGTTAGCATATATACCAGCACCATGGATCCTATGGGATATTCTATCATATAGTGCTAAATAGTGCTACAGAAAACATCAAAATGTAGCCAGTACTTTCAATACATCTTAGGTTCTTTGAGAGTGCACAAAGGGACAAGACTAGTGCTACATGATGCATATATATAATGTAAATATATAGTCTCTAAAATGCTATTTGTTGTTATCATCATTGTTTTGGTTATCATTATTACTACTAGTATCAATTATGTTTTGAAAAGAATAAGACTGACTATATATGGATACCTATGTTTATTAATATACCTAGTAATATGATACCTATGTTTATTAATTCTTATTACCCATGACGGATCCATGGTGCTGGTATATATGGTGCTCCATGGATCCCATCAATATACCCCCTTTATGTTAGCATATATACCAGCACCATGGATCCTATGGGATATTCTATCTTATAGTGCTAAATAGTGCTCCAGAAAACATCAAAATGTAGCCAGTACTTTCAATACATCTTAGGTTCTTTGAGAGTGCACAAAGGGACAAGACTAGTGCTACATGATGCATATATATAATATAAATATATAGTCTCTAAAATGCTATTTGTTGTTATCATCATTGTTTTGGTTATCATTATTACTACTAGTATCAATTATGTTTTGAAAAGAATAAGACTGACTATATATGGATACCTATGTTTATTAATATACCTAGTAATATGATACCTATGTTTATTAATTCTTATTACCCATGACGGATCCATGGTGCTGGTATATATGGTGCTCCATGGATCCCATCAATATACCCCCTTTATGTTAGCAGTTAGTATATTTGATCTACCAGCATACATGGATCCGTCATGGGTTATTAACATATTATGTTTATCAAAAAAAAACCATACCATCCCACATTGGAAGTTTCGATCGTTTCGGTTTCACCTGCGGCCGGCCATGAAAGCCCATGGCCGCCAAGATGGCCGACACCTGGGACATCAAGGGCTTGTTGAGATCGACTTTTTGGGTTGTTTGTAGTAAAGAAACCATTCCAAAAATGGGATTATTTTGAGTTCTAACAGAACATGTTGTAACCATGCGTGAAAGTGTTTCAAACCTTACAAGGTTCAAAATCCATGGGATGCTTGGCCCTATTTTTCAAACGGTTTTTGCCCACTGTACTTTTGATGGCTGGGATGGTTGCTGTCACCGTCTATGACATGAGGTATTGAATCTACTTGCTACGAGCATAAACAGAATGTTCAAAGAATAAATGCACAGAGTCATCCATACTATTTTGATTTATTTTGCGTTGTTTTGGGTGTTTGTTTTGAAAATTTTGAAAGTTTCCTATTGGCCTTCTTCACAACCCTTGCAAAGTCATCCCCAACGCCCTGAGAAACAATCTCAACTTGAGGCCGGGGGTGGATGACGAAAGCTAGCGGGGTAGGAGAAAGAAGGAAGGGAAGAGGTGAGTTGCGGAGGGACTGTCATCATCGTGTCGCGGCATTGTTCGTCCCAACGAGGATGCAACAATGATATATTGATATATGATATATAACAATGATATATATGGGGGAGGGGGCAGGGGGGGGCCCTTTCGCGGGAAAAATCACGTGATGTCCTTGGGGAGCCCCGGAATACGTGCTAAAGCAAGAAGACTCTAGCGAGCTGACGCTAGCTTTCGTGATAATGACAATAATTGCCAATAATGATAAAATGTAATTGAATAACGATGATGACGATGATGATGATGATGATGATACTGATGATGAATGATGAATGATGAATGATGAATGATGAATGATGAATGATGAAGATGATGATGATGATGATGATGACGATGATGATGATGATGATGATGATGATGATGACGAGGATGATGATGATGATGATGATGATGATGAGGATGATGATGATGACGATGACGATGACGAGGACGATGACGATGATGACGATGACGATGACGATGACGATGACGATGACGATGACGATGACGATGATGATGATGATGATGATGATGATGATGATGACGAGGACGCGGACGAGGACGAGGACGATGGAGAGGACGATGACGATGATGATGACGATGATGACGATGATGACGACGATGATGATGACGATGATGATGATGATGATGATGATGATGATGATGGTGGTGATGGTGGTGATGGTGGGAGAGGGGGGGGGGGGCCCTTTCGCGTGAAAAATCACGTGATGTCCTTGAGCAGCCCCCCCAATACTTGCTAAAGCAAGAAGACTCCAGCTAGCTGACGCTAGCTTTCGTGAAAAACGAAGACAGGGACAACTCAGGAAACAATGAAAGAAAAACAACACAGGAGTGAGAAACCGAGAAAACCATTTTTAAGAATCTAGGATCCCGGCGAGCACCACCAAGCCACCCAGCGCGATTAGGTACTGGCCACAGCGGTTGCTGGCAGGGCATGAAGTTGTGTGACCGGTACCAAAATCCAGTGGTGTGGATTGGCAAGTTCCCCGTTAGATTGCCGCTTTGAGATACCCACCCTGCTGGCATACAACCCCTATCTGAATACAGTGAATACAGCAAAACAAGTCATGGCATGACTCTCCTGCATTGCAGCTCAGTGGAGAACCAATTCACAGCACATGAGGCTCGTGGGGCTTCTCAGCTGATTTCATGTGAATCTTGTAGACGGCCCTTCAATTTATGTTTAAAATGTTTTGTAATTATTTAAGAAGGTCATCAAGGCGAGTTACACTTTCAGATTGGTCTGCATTTAAAGAGTTCGACTTTCAAAGGTCAAAATTTCCATTGAAAAAGAATTGCACGTCACTTTTCATGTTTAAAAAACATGTTCTGCAGCTTTGGACTGATCTTGTTTCCTTCATTGGCCTGAAAGCTCGCAACGGATGTTTTACGTCAAACATGCAAACCTCACGACTTGCCATGGAGTTGGACTCAACTTCAAAGAGATTGGCTCTTATTATTCAAGCTAAAGCGGCTATACCTCCTGCGGATCTGTTTGACTCCATTTGCACTTCCTGAAAACATGAATGGTTGGTTATTGAAACACATTCAAAGTTTTGCGCTAGAAGAAATTGGGGATGCCAACTTCTAACATGAATACCTGAGACTGCACAAGCTTGCGATCGTTTTTTTCCAAACTTCACTTCAGAATGACGAGGCGCATGTCCAAGGCTTCCATCTGCAGGTCCAGCTCTTCCTGGCGACATGCCAAGGCGTTAGGCTGGGGCCTCACAGCTCTCACAGCTCTCACAGCTCTCACAATTGCCGCCAAACATGCCGTCTGCACTTCAAGCCGGTCCAAGTACCTGAACAGTTTGTCGTTGGAAATTTCGACCTTGGCATTCCAGGCGTGCAAGAAGAATGTAAAAGGACTCAGGTTACAACATTTCAACTGCAACAGATTTTTCATTGGGGATATGACTTGGATATGATCAACAATCGTTTTTAGCCCCCACATGCCCCCACAATGTATTTTCCCAGTCATCAGGAACCTGAGTGCCGGAATCCTCCCGTTCCCAATCCGTTGCATTTGCTATGCGAAATGGAGCCAATTCTTGTGATTCTCCCGTTCGGAAAGTTGGGCCGTCTCCCGTTTTTTTGTTTGTCTGAACATAGGGCCAAAAATTTCCCTTCCACCCAGTAGTCCATCATTTTCCCAATATTTCCCAATCATCAACCCACACCAAAAATCATCAAAAATCGTCCAAATCCCTCACTTTCCAAGGCCACCGCTGGACGCTGCGGCTGTTTGGCACGGAGTTCCTGTGTCACTATAGAGCAATTTTACCCTGAAACAGGAAACAACACTGGTGGTTACCAACCATTTTGATGGGGATTTATCCTTGGATAAATAGATTACATAGATACATAGATAGATCGATAGATAGATAGAAAGATAGAAAGATAGAAAGATAGAAAGATAGATAGAAAGATAGAAAGATAGATAGAAAGATAGAAAAATAGAAATATAGATGGATGGATGGATGGGTGGGTGGATGGATGGATGGATAGATAGATGCATTGCTTGGTTCAAATCATGAGCACATACCAATTTCATAACGTCTTCTGGAAGGAAGAAACACGTTGCACAAAAAGTCCCTGGAACATACAAGGCATCTTTCAATCAAAGGCAGTATCTCTTCAAATAAGACTATCTTCAAAAATATAAAAAAAATATCACATATTGTATTATATTATATTATATTAGATTATATAATATAATATTATATTTATATTACAGTAACATGTTTCAATAATGACGGAACAGAAATGGCGAGTTTGAGATTTGACATTGGCTCAATTGATCAGCAACAATGATGAAGTTGAAGCCGCAAGTTGGGGTTGATGGTTGGTGGTTTCGTCAAATTCTGATTGTCAATTGGGAATGCTAGTGACTAGCCATCGTTCTTGTATAGTTACTATAGTTGGATCTAGTGGGTACGGAAAAGGAAGCACCAGGTACAGGTGCAACAGCGGAGGGGCTGCAACGTAATCAACGAACAGCTGGGGATGCTGCCAACGTGTGATGTTGCTCGTTCAAAGCGCTTTGAACTCGAGCTCCGGCAGCAGCCCTGGTGGAGGCACATGCAAATCAGGATACTTCTGTCCATTGTGGCAAGGTGAGCCGAGGACTTGTTAAGACCACAAAGGGCACAAGGGAACCAATCAAAAACAATTTCAAGTAGCCATGGTTCGTCCCTCCAAGTCACTCCCTTCTTGTGCCTCAAGCGTCGCTCAGTGGCAGCAGCGGCCACGGCGGTTACCTGGTTGCAGGCTCTTCCCAATGTTTTGGACGCATCTTAACTTTGCAAGACCCTGTGGTGAAGCATTAGAATCTCTTCGAAACCATTTTTGTGACATTGTAACACATCTACAAGAAAGAATGTGCTCGGTGTCCATTGCGCCAAAGCCCCTGCTGCGGCCAGACGAGTCACGGGAGGTGCAGCCGCTACAGCTACAACGGCTGCAGCAACACAGCATGGTGCAGGAGCTGCGAAAGATAAGCCATGAGGCAGGCCTTGGAGAGGTGGCAGCATTTACATCCGAGAGAGCAACACATGACAAAAGATGATGAACATTTATGAAACAAGATGCAGCCCACGAACCCGAATGCTCACACGTATGTTAATGGTACAGATGTCAAAACACATGGATATGCAGTCACGCACAACACTTTTCTGCAATGGTTTGTTTGAACAGTCTTGTACATATTTCCCCTGTTACCAGTCTGCAGTGTGGAGTGTAAAGTGTAGAGTGTGGAGTGAGGGGTGTGGAGTTTGTAAATTGTAGAGTGTGGAGTGTAGAGTGTAAAGTTTAGAGTGTGGAGTGTAAAAGGTAGAGTGTCGAGTGTGGAGTGAGGGGTGTCGAGTGGGGAGTGCGGAGTGTAAAGTGTAGATTGTGGAGTGTGGAGTGTAAAGTCTGGAGTGTAAAGTCTGGAGTGTAGAGTGTGCAGTGTGTAAAGTGTGGAGTGGAGTGTAGAGTGTGGAGTGTGGAGTGTAAAGTGTAAAGTGTGGAGTGTAAAGTGCGGAGTGCGGAGTGAGGAGTGTAAAGTGTAAAGTGTGGAGTGTAAAGTGTGGAGTGTGGAGTGTAAAGTGTAGAGTGTGGAGTGTGGAATGGAAAGTGTAGAGTGTGGAGTGTGCAATGTAAAGTGAGGAGTGTGGAGTGTAAAGTGTGGAGTGCAAAGTGTAGAGTGTGCAGTGTGGAGTGTGGACTGGGGAGTGGAAAGTGTAGAGTGTGGAGTGTAGAGTCCGGAGTGTAAAATGTAAAGTGTGGAGTGTAGAGTGTAGAGTGTAAAGTGTAGAGTGTGGAGTGTAAAGTGTAGAGTGTGGAGTAAAGTGAGGAGTGTAAAGTGTGGAGCGTGGAGTGTAAAGTGTAGAAAGTGGAGTGTGAAGTGTGGAGTGTGGAGTGCCGAGTGTGGAGTGGAAAGTGTAAAGTGTGGAGTGTGGAGTGTAAAGTGAGGAGTGTGGAGTGTAGAGTGTGGAGTGTGGAGTGAGGAGTGTAAAGTGTGAAGTGTGGAGTGAGAAGTGTAAAGAGTAAAGAGTAAAGTGTGGAGTGTGGAGTGTAAAGTGTGGAGTGTGGAGTGTGGAGTGAGGAGTGTAAAGTGTGAAGTGTGGAGTGAGAAGTGTAAAGAGTAAAGAGTAAAGTGTGGAGTGTGGAGTGTAAAGTGTGGAGTGTGGAGTGGAAAGTGTAGTGTCAAAGGTGGAGTGTGGAGTGTAAAGTGAGGAGTGTGGAGTGTAAAGTGTGAAGTGAGGAGTGAAAAGTGTAAAGTGTGGAGTGTAAAGTGTGGAGTTTGGAGTGTGGAGTGGAAAGTGTAGAGTGTGGAGTGTAAAGTGAGGAGTGTGAAGTAAGGAGTGTGGCGTGTAAAGTGTGGACTGAGGAGTGTAAAGTGTAAAGTGTGGAGTGTAAAGTGTGGAGAGTGGAGTGTGGAGTGCAGAGTGTGGAGTGGAAAGTGTAGATTGTGGAGTGAGGAGTGTGGAGTGTAAAGTGAGGAGCGTGGAGTGTAGAGTGTGGAGTGTGGAGTGAGGAGTGTAAAGTGTAAAGTGCGGAGTGTGGAGTGTAAAGTGTAGAGTGTGGAGTGTGGAGTGGAAAGTGTAGCCTGTGGAGTGTAAAGTGTAAAGTGTGGAGTGAGGAGTGTAAAGTGAGGAGCGTGGAGTGTAGAGTGTGGAGTGAGGAGTGTAAAGTGTAAAGTGTGGAGTGTGGAGTGTAAAGTGTAGAGTGTGGAGTGTGGAGTGGAAAGTGTAGCGTGTGGAGTGTAAAGTGTAAAGTGTGGAGTGAGGAGTGTAAAGTGAGGAGTGTGGAGTGTGGAGTGTGGAGTGAGGAGTGTAAAGTGTAAAGTGTGGAGTGTAAAGTGCGGAGTGAGGAGTGTAAAGAATAAAGTGTGGAGTGTGGAGTGTAAAGTGTGGAGTGTGGAGTGGAAATTGTAGAGTGTCAAAGATGGAGTGTGGAGTGTAAAGTGAGTAGTGTGGAATGTAAAGTGTGAAGTGTGGAGTGAGGAGTGTACAGTGTAAAGTGTGGAGTGTAAAGTGTGGAGTGTGGAGTGTGGAGTGGAAAGTGTAGAGCGTGGAGTGTGGGGTGTAGAGTGTAAAGTTGGAATGTCACAAAGTGCCACGCTGCCACGCTTGCCACGCAAAACGACATGACAACCTGCTTAGAAACCCTCGAACAGGAGATGTTTTGCAGCTTCCCCCATAGACACTGCGACGTGTCTAGAAAACCAGAGACACTTTTGGCTCGTTGTCAAACAGGTTGGAATGTCACAAAGTGCCACGCCTGCCACGAAAAACGACATGACAACCTGCTTGGCAACCTTCGAAAAAGAGAGGTTTTGCAGCTTCCCCCATAGACACGGCGATGCCACAGGAAATCCAACGACTCAGGACAAGACACGTGGATGCAGAAAAACGAGCATTTCGTACGAGACTTCCTCCAATTTTCACATTTTCGACACTTTATCAAACAGGTTGGAATGTCACAAAGTGCCACGCCTGCCACGCAAAACAACATGACAACCTGCGTGGACACATTCGAAAAGGAGAAGTTTTGCGGCTTCCCCCATAGACACGGCGACGCCACAGGAAAACAAGCGACTCGAGACAAGACACGTAGATGCAGAAAAACAAGCATTTTGTGCGAGACTTCCGGCAATTTTCACAGTTGGCAACACGACAAAAAGACAAGTTTTGCAGCTTCCCCCATAGACACGGCGAGGCCACGGGAAAACCAGACACGCGAGACGAGACAGGTGGGAGCACCAAAACGAGCATTTCGTGCGAGACTTCCTCCAATTTTCACACTTTGTAGCTTCAAAATCCACGTTTTCCTACGAGTTTTCCTTAGAACATGAAAATTTGCAACCTCAAAATCGATGTTTCGTGCGAGGCTTCCGTGAATTTTCAGTACATGTCACAAAATGCCACGACTGCCACGGAATTTGCACCTTGTCGCCACTTGACGCAGCACTGCCAATGCGATTTGCAAAAAACACGCAACACGACACGTCTAAAGTGCTGCGCCTGCCACGAAAAATGACGATGGACACGACCAAAGTGCTGCGCCTGCCACGAAAACTGCAACACATCTGAAAATGTCACTAAAGTATTGCGCCAGCCACGCAAAACGACTTTCGACACGTTCCAGAACACGCCTGAATGTCACGAAGTGCGACGCCTGCCATGCGAAACGAAGCAACCAGACGTCTGAAACCTCCAAAAAGGACCACTCCTGCAGAACTTCCCATAGGCACGGCCATACGGTCCTCACACGAACGGTTGCGAACGGTTGCGGACGGTTGCGACCACAAACGCAACGTCGAGCGAACACACCCTCAACCCCCAGACCCCCAGAGTGAAACGGGAACCCTTGCTACGCATTCGGGAAAAATACGCGTCGGTGTCCCCAACAGCCGCAACGTTTTATTTTTACAATTTTTTCTGAAGCGTGCTGCGCAGCCAAGCGCTGGAAACACCTCAGCTGGTTTTCCATGAATTAAACGGCTGCAAATCCCGTTGAACCTGACCTGGCTCTGCACCAAAGCCTCCCAGAGCTTCTCCGGAACCTTTTTCGGAACCTTCTCGGGAACCCTGTTGAACCTGACCTGGCTCTGCACCAAAGCCTAGAAGACATTCACCGGAACATTTTCCTCTACCCTGTTGAACCTGACCTGGCTCTGCACCGAAGCCTCCCAGACCTTCTCCGGAACCTTTTCCGGAACCTTGTCGGGAACCCTGTTGAACCTGACCTGGCTCTGCACTGAAGCCTCCCAGACCTTCTCCGGAACCTTCTCTGGAACCCTTTTAAACGTGGCCTGGCTCTTCATCAAAGCCTCCCATGCAGACCTTCTTCGAAACCTTCGGAACCTTCCCTGGAACCTCGTTGAACCTGAGCCGGCGCCTGCACCAGTGCACACCGGAGCTATTTTTGGGCTGAAGACCCCATTAGCTTACGCTGTTGGGGAGTGAAATGTGGAAAGTGGAATTTAAGTTAGGAAAATGTGCCCAACTGACAATTCTATCGTAAATCTTTCCGCGTGATGTTTCGCAGGAGAACTTGTGACAAACCAAAGGCACCGATGTTTCAGGCAGATTATCCCAGATTATCCCAACTTTGTGCCAGCTGAATTCCTGCTGGTCAAAACCCAGAAGGTGGTTGAATCAAATCCCAATGAAACACCACCGCCCATTTCCCTGTTTCAGGGCCGCTCCTCGATTGGGCACTGGCCTCACGCCGTGTGAAACCAAGCTTCAGATGAACCATGCCGTTTTCATCATCCCAGGGTTCGGATGTTACAAGGAGAAGTAATAACTCAGACAGGCTCAGAAAAACAACATGAAGCATATGGCAACCGCTCGAAAAGAGAATAGAAAACTAAAAATGTGTCATGCTGACCAAACATATGGAACGCAGGAAGCATGAACATTCAGTTTTGAAAATGCAACTACTGCAAATTCTAACTGAAATCAACCTGTTTCCTGAACATGGGAAAAAGGATGAAATGAAAAGGATCATATTCATATATAATATATAGATATTGTCTTCATGTGATGCTTCCATGAAGCTGTGAACAAAGCAGCAAATACATGTAATAAGATGTAACACATATAAATGCGAAATAATATACCACTAAAAAAAAACTGAAATCGGCACAGGAACCCAATGATCCAAAACCGCCTGTGCTGTACTTGTTACGGGCTGAGAGCTGTGACCATGTCCCCCGCGCCCACTTCTTTAAGCCCAAGCACAAAGGCTGTTCCTCCGCCCGAACTCCCACATCGATCTGGCAGGAGACGTTGCCAGCTAAAGGATCCCAACCCAGCAATGAGCCCCTCTGCTTTGTCAATTGGGAGTGAACCCACTTCAAAGATTCAAAATGGCAATCATCACTGTCTTCGGAAGCACCCAAATCAAGCAACCCCAAAAGTCGGACCACCAAACAACAAAAAAAACGATTTCTCCTGCCGGAGCTCGAGTTCAACGCGCTTTGAACGAGCAACATCACACGTTGGCAGCATACCCAGCTGTTCGTTGATTACATTGCAACCCCTCCGCTGTTGCACCTGTACCTGGTGCTTCCTATTCCGTCCCCACTAGATCCAACTATAGTAACTATACAATTACGATGGCTAGTCACTAGCATTCCCAATTGACAATCAGAATTTGACGAAGCCACCAACCATCAACCCCAACTTGCGGTTTCAACTTCATCATTGTTGCTGATCAATTGAGCCAATGTCAAATCTCAAACTCGCCATTTCTGTTCCGTCACTATTGAAACATGTTACTGTAATATAATATAATATAATACAATATGTGATATGTTTTTTATATTTTGAAAATAGTCTTATTTGAAGAGATACTGCATTTGATTGAAAGATGCCTTGTATGTTCCAGGGACTTTTTGTGCAACGTGTTTCTTCCTTACAGAAGACGTTATGAAATTGGTATGTGCTCATGATTTGAATCAAGCAATGCATCTATCTATCTATCTATCGATCGATCGATCTATCGATCTATCTATCGATCTATCTATCTATCTATCTATCGACCTATCTATCGAACTATCTGTCTATCTATCTATCTATCTATCCATCTATCCATCTATCCATCTATCCATCTGTCGATCTATCGATCTATCGATCTATCGATCTATCGATCTATCGATCTATCGATCTATCTATCTATCTATCTATCAATCTATCAATCTATCAATCTATCAATCTATCAATCTATCAATCTATCAATCTATCTATCTATGTATCTATCTATCTATCTATCTATCTATCTATCTATCTTATCTGTCTTATCTGTAGATAGATAGATAGATAGATGGATAGGATAGAATAGAATAGAATAGAATAGAATAGAAAGATAGATAGATAGATAGATTGATAGATAGATAGATAGATAGGTAGGTAGGTAGATAGATAGATAGAATAGGATGCGCATTGCTGCGGGAAAATCACAAATCGCCCACGCCCCCTCTTCCAAGCCTCCTCTTTCTCCTGTTCCTGCAATCCCAAGTCAGCCATCAGAAACGTACGCGCACATTGCAAGAAACAAAACCTGGTGAAACAACATGGCAAGAACGCAACACGCAGAACCTATCAGTCCTCGACCCCACAAGAACCCATGGCTGGGAACAATTGCCAAAGCGGATAAGGGATAAAGAACACAAATGAAAAACTTTTGAAAATCATCTTCTTGTGCAGTAGCCAGTTGATTGCAAATTTCATTCAAATCGTCTAACATGTTTTTCTATCTTTCAGAGAAAATGTATATTATCGAAGACATGTTTAGTTTTATCAAGCTGTGGTTCTTGTAAAATAGAACGCGTGCGATGCTGCATCCGCCGCCAAGACAGCGAATCCAATACAGACAACACATCACCACGGAGGGATCACACGAAGTGTGTTGTGTTCTCCAGCGCTGTTCCGGCTTTAGGACCCGTGCCCGCAGACTTTGAAAAGAAACTGTGACAAATTTCAGCACAAGTGACACAGTTTCTCACACATCCTTTGCAACAAAGTGTCGAGAGGGTCCTGAAAGTATTTGTTTCATAGATCTGCCTATATATAATGGTTCAAGATATACTCCAAAGGGCCACCATCATATCAGTCAAGCGCCCTTTTCCGCCATAAGCTGCAACTCTAAAGCGGTGTGACTGGAAAACATCGTCACCGCATGCATTAGCTGGTCGATATCTTGGTGAAACAGCCTTGCTGGAACTTGAAGCACACTTCATGGCAAGCAATGAACAATGATAATTATTGGTAATGATACTGAAATGTCTTTAATGTAATTTCACAATGTATTTAACCAATATTTTCACTATCCAATGTCGAATGCAGCAATGATATTGGCAATGATCCAATCTTACAAAAGAATAGGGTATGAACAGGGAATGTTCCTCTGGAAGAACCCTGCTCATAGTTGGCCTGGTGAAAGTTGGCCCGCGATTTGCCTCACGAAGAACTTCGAGCCTCGAGACCATCCAAGCTGATGAAAAGTCGTCGAATCGTCGAGAAAATTAGATTGACCCACATCATGATCATCATGAGACGATCATCATGGAATATCAGAATATAATGATTTAACGTAATTTAACATAATTTAACATACTTTGTAGAACTTGTAGATCGTTTGATTCAACCATCTCGCTGGGGATTGGGAACTTCAGGCTGCCAACCTGGTGGTGGTCGTCTTTGAGCACCACTTAAATAACTAGCCCGTTACCAGCCCAAAGATGTGGACACCCAAATGGTTGACCCAAAAAAACCATGGGATTCTCCATCGACAGTTGTCATCAGTCTTCTTCATGAAGATCCTTTATTGTTCTCTTCATCATTATGAATGTTACTCTTACTGTTACTATTATACTAAAACTGTTACCATCACTATTACCTCTATATATTGGCTATTACTATTAGCTATTACGTGGTATTACTATCATTCATTATGACTGCCAATGATTATATTATCACCTGGATCTTCTGTCGAGCAGAAATAAATGTACAATGGCTTCTTCGTATATGAAATTCCAATATCGTACGTAAAATTGCCAATCGAGCACGTTACCTTATTATCAATAATTCTATAGAATATATATAACATTTTATTTCAGGGATATATTATGATATATTACATACCCAAACCATCCCAATCTCAGGTCCATACCACCTCATGTGCCTCTGAACTAGACACTTCCCCGCCAGCTATTGGCCCAGTGCCCATTGTGCACACTGTGTGCCAAGTGCATGCTGACTTCGAACACCTGCCAGAAGGCAGGGCCAGCAACTTGGGGTGGAGAGACTGGCAGGATTCCAAGGGGTAATCAGGAACCATTTCATCTTGAATTATTTCATGTTTTTGGGTTTTAGGATCTCGGCCCAAGTGTGAGTTGTGCCAAAAAAATGGCATATAGTGCCGCAGCAACCAGAGTCTTTGAAGAATGGCGTGATAACAGCGCCGTTAGTGATCGTGCTGCCAAAGCCGTGCTGGCACATGTTGGACGAAAAGGTGATGTGAATCGCCAAGAGGTTGCCTTCAATCATGAGTTCTTGGCACCAATTATTCGACATATTGGTCCCTTGATTTAATTTGAGCATTATCAACCCTCAGATATTCAAGGGGCATGGGTTAAAAACACTGATCAATAAACGAACTGGCTTCTAGAAAGACTAAATGAATCTAAATGATCTATTCAATTCCATTCATGATGATTGTAGTAACCCATCAGCTAAATGATCTATTCAATTCCATTCATAATGATTTAAACCTATCCCCCAACTAAACCCAAGAGAGGAGGTTACATGTCTCATGTTCTGCTAAGGTCTTCGGCCTTCGCTGGAAAGTTTGATGGAAGCGACCGAGATGCTTCTCCACCACTGCAGACCCAGAGGGAAAGCTTTGCCGACCCGTTGGGGCCCCATTAAAAAAATGACAGGGGACATCAGGATTTTAATGCAAATACAGCATGATTTAGAATTCCATCACTGCCACTACCATCCCCATCTATATAAGTTGCCCATTGGCTTAGGTGATGTCATTCGAGTTGAAGCGTGGATTCTCCGACGACTGGTGTTTCTGTTCGCTCGTGTTGCAAGACGTGGGCACAGGCCCCGGGAACACAACATTCGCCTTTTGATGGAAGCAGCAGGGATCCCCGTACCATCTTCACGTAACTTGTCAACAATGTTTGCTTAGAAAATCTGTCCAAAAATGGTAGGCAACCCTAGCTCTAATCAGATCCATGTTGATAGTTGATGAAGAAAAATCTCTGATCCATTTGGCTTTTGAAATTGTCATTGACTACCCACCCTGTCTTGGAAAATTGCCAAACCCTACAGATACAATAGACCCAGGTGAATCACTTGCAGATGAAGCGGACCCAGAAGCGCCTGATGACGAAGATGCCGAAGATGATGGGGAGCCCAATGGTGAGCCTGATGAGTCGATGGATGAGGGTCAGGAATGTTCTGAAACCGAGATCGAAGACGACCCCGAAGTTGAAGTTGATGCTAAGGATTGGGTTGCAATAAAAACATTCTGGGTCATGGGTTGAGGTGTCTAGCCTGAAGAATGTCTTAAAATGATAAGACCGTCAGGATCCACAACTGGCACCCCAATTTTGAAAGACCCCAATTTATACACATCTCCTATTTCAAGAAATATGATCATAAATGTTACCCATGTCCCTAATTGGTGATCCTCTTTTACACCAGTCACTGATTCCCTTGAAAGGATATTCCAAGCGTGGCCACTGCAGCTGGTTTGGACAAGACTGCAGGCGCAAGCCTGTGGTGACATGGTGGTGATTTAAACCTCAGCTATATACCTTCCTACAAGTGACGCATGGGAACCCTTCAAGATCCAATAGCAATTTTGAATTTATGAAGTGGGATATATTTTTCACAGTTGGCCTGGAAGGCCATGTGGATCCTATGTCTTCGACTTCATCTGGATCTTCCGGGACCAGTGCGCCCACAGAGCCTGCTGCGCCTTTGACTTCGTCTCCTTGTCCCACGCCTGCAGGCCAGCAGGTAAAGCTCATGCATGTGTGTCACACAAACTGCCCTATTTTGACAGTTCACCAGTATAGATCATATATAGGGTCAATATAAAATTTGTACATCAGAATACATGCTTATATGTCGCCATAATATGTCGCATGGTATCCCAAGCCCACTCAGTCAATATGGTACTATGTGCAATTTTCCACTGTGAGGCCAAAAAGTAGAAGCACACCTCCGTCCTGGTCACTACATCGTGAACAACAAAGAGCATGGGCATGAGTGCCTACGTTGTGGTGCGGTGGGTTATGTGGGTGATATCAAGAGCACGCCATGCAGTAACCCAATGGGAGAACCCAAGTATGAAGAAGAAGATCCATCAACTGGACACCCATCAGCTACCTGCACGGCAACCAATCCTTTTCAGGAGAAATTTGGTGGTTTACCTGAAGGCAAGAAACCCACACAGCAGGAAATTGAGGATGAGATTGTTGCCCTTCGACTCCTTGAAGCGGAGCTAGCAGCTTGGGATGAGGTTCAGAAGGAGAAAGAAGCGCAAGAGGCATTGGAGGAGAAACAGTTGATGCTTGAGCTTCAAGCTTTGGAACTTGAGGAAAAGGAGCTTCATAGACTTGAGACCAAGGATTACAAGACAAAGCTGTTGGATGAGGGGTTTCCAGAGCACATTGCCGCCCAGGCGCTTGAGATTCCTGAGTCTGATTGGCCAAAGGTTTTGGAGAAGGCTCACCGAATCACCCAAGAGGAAGAGTACCAGACCCTTTCCAAGGCTGAAAAGGAGGAAGCAAAAAAGAGGACTGCCGGCCGACCACCTGCTTCACCTTGTGTTGGGAATTCCATGCCGCCACCATCAGTTCCAAAGAAACCCGACATCAGCACAGAGGTTAGTATCTAATCTTAAAGAATAAGTCCTCTGTTGCAAACATGTTCATTCAAACAACAGGTGGACCATCAAAAAGACCGGTTGCCAAGGTATTGACAACATCGACACGCTCCCTCTGGACACTCAGTCGGCAGAGGATGTAAGTTTTCACTTATCCATACTACCAGACAAAGGATGTCCTGCTGAGACTGGTGAGCGCCAGTACTTTTGCAAACCCATGGGCTCCAGCGATTCCCTTTCAACCATGTATTATGACAAGACTGCAAAGACCCCACAACAAATCAAAGAAGCAGTTGCTTGGCCCACCTATTCCCAAATGAACCCTTGTTGTAAAGGTTACTGTTTTATGTTTTGGCACAAGAAAACTGTATCACATGAGGGCCCCAGCTCAAAAACATCCTGCCAGGTGAAGTCGAAAGTTGAGGAGGGAAATCCCCGACCCAAAGATGTGTTGGAGCGTGTGACCTCTTCAATCTCCCCTACGGACCAAAAACAAAAGTTCAAGGAAGCTGACAATGATGAGGATGAGGGAGAGAATGGGGATGGAGGTGAAAAGACTGCAGGCTCAGCACGTGGAAAGGGCAAGGGCCGTGGACGGGGTGGAAAGGGCCGTGGACGGGGTCGTGGACGTGGAAAGACTCCAGGAAAGCGCTCAAGTTCCACCAGCTGCAAAGGTTGTGAGAAGCCCAACAAAAAGGCCAAGTCTGGAAAGGGAGCAAAGGATCTGGCCACTTTTGAGAGCAGACCAACAGCCAGTGAAGAACCTCCGTCTTCTACCAGCAAGCCTCGTCGTCGACTTCGACCCCTGTCAGAAAAGCCTGAGGATTCGAAGCCTGAGGAGGACGCAAAGATGCCCAAGACAAGAAAGGTTTCAAACAAGCCTGAAAAGGATGCCAAGAGTTCCCTGGAAGCCCTGAAAGAAGCTTTGTCTTCTACCTGCAAGCCTCGCCGTGCCCGAAAGGAGAAGGATGCCAGTGGTTCCCAGGAAGAACCTTCGTCTTCTTCTACCTCCAAGCCTCGCCGTGCCCGAAAGGAGAAGGATGCCAGGGGTTCCCAGGAAGAACTTTCGTCTTCTTCTACCTCCAAGCCTCGCCGTGCCCGAAAGGAGAAGGATGCCAAGGGTTCCCAGGAAGAAGAACCTTCGCCTTCTACCAGAAAGCCTCGCCGTGCCCGAAAAGGTGCAGAAAAGCCTGAGGATCCAAAGTCTGAGAAAGGTGCCAAGAAGTCAAAGAAAGAACCTTCGTCTACCAGCAAGCCTCGTGAGCCCCGAAAGATTTCGAAGAAGCCTGCTTCCAAGCGCATGCGCTCAAAGGTGAAGATTGAAGAAGAAACCAACCAGGTCAACCAGGAGACACTTGGAAGCCCTGAGATGCTTGAAAGTGGGCCACCTGCCACCCCGGCAGCTCCAGAGCCTGAGGGACGACCCTTGAGGAGGAGAGATGACCCAGAGGAGAAAGCCAAAAGATCCAGGAAGTCAAGTGCTTACCATGTTGCGAAAAGGGCTGCCCTCAAGGATGGGCATTCCAAGGAAAAAGCTTTGGAGATGGCGTCCCAGGCGCCCCTCCATCACATCCGTGCATGCACATGAAAGTAAATACTGTGTGGTATGCAAATTCCAATAAGACCCTTATATATATATACTTCCACCTTACTTTGAATGACCCCTCTCATTTTTGTCAATCTTACTTCTCGGTCCCAGGCCTACCACTCTACGCTGTGATGCTGTGATGATCTTCCGTGGCTATGATGCTTGCCAAGCTCATATACTTGGCTTTTGGGGTTTAAAAGCTATGATGGGGTAACTTGCAAAGCAAGTCTCGGTGGGTGAACATTTCATCGATGTATGAAGTGCTACAAATCTCGATGGTGGCCGCAGTGAGCACAAGCTCATGCACATGGCACAAGTGCGACTTTAGGACAATGACAAAAAATGGACCAGCTTGCATTGACCAAACATATTTCCTCCCAACGTATTAAGATCGAATTAACCCTTCGCTGATATAGTACTGACATTATTCATTTTGCCACCATCTCGTCTACATGAATCAAGCATAGAATTTTTAGGTGAAAGAAAAATCCAAAATTTGGGGCTGTCCCTGACAATCAAATTTGTCAGGTGCATGGCGGGCTCTCCCTGGCAGCGGCGGCGGGGCCTCTGCAATGGCTTGGCTTCGTCAGGCAGTCCTTGCTGGCCAGCCTGCCACGGTTTGGGTGATTTGGGAAAGCTGTTTAGAGTGGCTATGGGATTATTTTTGACCTACTTCAACAAGTTATTGCGCATTTATTCTGGCAGCCCTTTGGTCCTAGCATCTGTCAACAACAGAAAGTTGAGCCAGCTTAGTAGGATGAGGAATCCCGTGGCATGCCTTCAGCATGTGCAAGCGCCCAAGGTCGGGCATGAACATTATTTCTTTATTTGCAATCGTTTTTTTTTCACCAGCTAACATTTTGATCTAATGGTGGTTAACCCTGAAGGTGCTGGTCACTGTGATTCTCTTACTATCTTGGATGGATATGCCTCCGATGCAGTATGACATGCTGGATCTGTTCTGTGGCCAACAGGCTGTTTCCCGTATTTGGACTATTCCTCAGCTCTCAAATTTTGAAGTGTCCTTGTAAACCATGGCTGGTTGAATTCCTCCCTGCCCAATAGCTAAGGACCAAAAGCGGATACCAATGTGCAGCATTTGATGTGGGAATCAACCCCAAGACCCTGGATTTTTTGGCTCCTGCTGGATTTGCGTTTCTCAAAACAATTTATATGCATGAATCATGCTCACGCACACATGCATATCATATTATTATTATGAACTAATATGCATGGATTTGAGCTATAGAATAAATATATAAACTATTTCGATCTATTTCGCAGCTCCGTGCCCAGGCTGGTCCTATGGATTTGCATGCATATGCATCCAAATTCCATTGCGATGATGGGGCCCGATTGCAGCTCATGGGGGCTGCCAGCTAGGGGTTCCAGTTGGAGATCACCAATAAACATACATGGAAACATCTTCTCTGATTGGGTGCGACGAAGTACATCCATGGTTAGCCGGATTCTTTTCGGCAAAAAAGGTGAACCATCTACATGTGCGTATTCATGCATGTGTTGTTCAATTTGGGGTGGCAGTTAGCTCAGGATGGTCCTTGTGATATTAGTACTCTTGGCCAACAATTGTGTCTGGGTGGTGGAGCAGCCACGACAAAGCCTGTTGGACTATCACAGGCGTTTCAGCTGGCTCGTCAACAAAGTCACATACGTTTCTACCTTGCAATATATTTTGATATATTATATGAAATCCATGACAACTCCATCCCATTTGTGTGGGGCCCCTTTTTGGATGGGCATCTAAGGCTTACGAAACAAGCTTCTGGATGATGTTACATGGACATCCCAGCGCGAAACCGACCAAAGTCTGGAGCAATATGAGGGAGGTAGAATGTCTCAACAAGGGAATACTGACGAAAGTGGAACGTGAACGTCGAACTGAACTGAAAACAACCCGAAACTAGGATGCCAAGTTATTCCCAATATATGTTTTGCATTGTAATTTGTGGGGATCTGCCACCCTCAATGTGTTGCTAGCCAAGGAAAATACCGAGATGCCCAGGGTCGAGACCGCTTTGTTGGAACACCCGGCCTCTCCGAAAGTGCGTAACATGGTGTATTATTTTTTGTGGGTAATAGGTAGTCCCCAAAGTATTTATATATTCTTTGAACCCAACAAAAGAAAAGCTTGTTGAATACCAAGTGGATCAAACCTAAACATCTTGGGGGTGACACCTTTTCCTTTGGCTGCTGCCTGAGGCAGTATCCAGATGGCTTTGCGGCGTGTCTCCGTGAAGTATATGAAGAGCACCTTCGTGGGGAAGCGCGGCGCGATCTCAGATTCAAACCCCAAATGGACCAGCATTTGGATGAGGTTCAACAATACAAAAACCTTACTGTGGGCGACTTATGGGAAGATGCTCACCTTTTGCCTGTTTTGGATTACCTGATGAATTCCAAACTGCTCAGGACAGCTAGCTGATCTGCTTTCAACTTTTGAGACAACCAGTTAAACACTTACTTATTGAATTCCCTTTGTTGGCCCTGATGTACCCTTCTGTTTGGGAGGATTCCAGAAGAATGGACCGAAGCAATTCATGCTTTCTATGGTGAGTATCGGAGCACTGTCCCTGTTCTGCATCAATTGTTAAGATTCCTTGACGTTATAAATATTAATTCCATGATAGCTTCACAGGTGCCCAAGGTACAGGTAAAAGAATGGTTTGAACAAATACCTCTACTATTCTACTGGATTTTTTACTGTCAATCAGGCCGATTCCCAGTCAAGAATACTGTCACTGCAGGTTTTGGGCGACGCCAGCTTGACTGAGCAACTGATGATGCACCAAGCTGGTGCATCTAGTGGCTCAAGTGCGATGTGTGTTGACTAGATGCCTTCAAATATGCTTCAAATTAATTCAAAAGAAACGGCCGCTCCTAAATTGGTTGGCTCTGCTCCAAATATGGGAAGTTCAGAGTTTTTGCAAAATTCGAGGGGAAAACCTAGGCCGCACAACGAGCGCACTTTCGCGCACACGAGCGCACTTTCGCGCACTCGGGCGCACACTCAAAAAGTGCTCGTTTTGAAAGTTATGTTTTCAAGAATTTGTTGCCCATTGGCTTGGTTGGAGGGTTTATGTGCACCTGCAATTGGTTTTTGATTGTTTTTTGCATCCAACCTGATACCGGTGCCTTAGCATTCTGGCTTTTTGCTTCTTGGGGTATGTCTTCCCGTCCAAATTCCAGTAACACCTTGCTTGAAGGGATGCAGGATGTGCAGTTTGGACCACCAAATCCAACTGCTGATCGCAAACGCGAGCTTCAAATGCAGATTGAGGCACCAAAAACGGTGATGCTATATGCATTGATGCTCTTATTGTAAGCTTAGTGGAGCCCACATATGTTGATCCAGCCCACATGTTTGTAGAGCTGCATGTTAGGCACTTTCACTTTCTGTACACACTGCAACGAAGGCGTCAAAGAGCCGACTTCAAGCCCTTCGTCGCAAGATGAGCAACCAAGTGCTTCCAAATGTTCCTGACGAACCACCTGTTGCTGGTTTCTTTGGTTGCATTGAGGAGGGGTGTCAGGTGTGTTGAGGTAGTCCAATGTTTACCTATACCAACAGTTGGTTCTCATTTGTGTTTTGCAATTGCGCACACGCGTGTCTTAAGGAGGTATGCACACTACGCAAAGCAGTGGTGCTTTTTGTGCTGGAAATTCGGAGAATCCCCCAGCCAAAGTACCGCTAGTTACTTTGGAGACCTTGCCTGATGAGCCTGATGAGTCACAGCCACCTGTCTTGGCAGAGCCAGTCCCTACCCAGCCACATGCAGAAGTCCCAGATACGCTTCCTGAATCCCAATTCCAGGATGCCCAGTCCCGAAACGATGAGTTGTTATTCCCAGATTCACCTTCGAAAGGGCCTGGGGTAGTTGATGGTTCGGCCCCATCCCCCTCGGGATCAGCCCCTGCCCCACTGGTTGGTGCGGCGCCTGCTGAAGAAGAAGAATCTGAACCAGGCGACTCCGTGTCTGCAGCTCCTCCTGGCACTGGCCGGAAGAAGCGTGATCCGAATGACTTCAAGCTGCTTGGAGTTCCAACCATGATTTAATTTAAGGGGCCAGAATACATGAGGTCTCAACTAGCTGGTCAATGAATAATTACCAAAGTTAGCTGATCACTCCTTACACCAACATGGTGGCTTGGGGTGTGTGGGCATGGGAGAGAAGCACACACACACATACCACGGCTATGTAGTCAGTCAATCTCACAGGTTTTCAACAAGAATTTTCTTGGACCTAGAGACTTCCATCAGTGTTTCCCTTTGTCAACAGCCAACCTAGTTGCAATGAGGCTGTACCGCTACTTCAAGCCACGTGCCTCGGGGACACTCAAATGTTCCCCTGAAGCTATGAAAATGTGGAAAACAGACTCTGGACGTGACTGGGTGCAAACATGTGTGCCAGCATTCCAGCATATATAAATCCTAAAATGACATGGTATATTTTGCATGACATTTGCATGCATGCCTTATATATCAAGAGCCATGTGTATGCTGAGGTGAAGAGCTCAAGCGCATGTTTGCCCAACATGGGTCATTTGATGCCTTGGAGGTGGCCATCAAAAAAAAGACCCTCAAGAGCAAGGAAGACACAGCGGAAGGTGGCTGGTTTTCAGCCCTTGCTCTCAGGCGAGACAAGGGCTGGACATCGACCAAGCCCCAGTTGTTGTTTTCAAAAGAATGGCACATACACATTTTTGCAACAAAGCACTGATATTTTTTGTCAACTGAGCTATTTAGTCTTGACACGCTTGCCAAGAAAATTCAGAAGCCAAACATCTATATATGAGTGCAAGTATGTTATGTAGATGTTATATTTATAAAATATAGCTTCACCCAAGTTTTCCTTGATTCCCACCCTTACTGTTCTTGCCTGAGCTGAGGAAAATGATTGCTTCGGCTTGGCAGTGGGCCTCCAAGCGGGGCCGTGTTCGAAAAAATGAGGTACATGGAGAGGAAGAGATCAAGATCGTTGCTGAGGAGCTTTTCAAGGTGTCCAACCAAGAGACTGAGGAAACCGAACAGAGTGGGTCGTTCACGGTCCAGGACTTCGAGCTGCATGCAACATATTCCCAACATGTTACCAAAGATATCCCATCACACATAATACACACAGTATGCCATGGAATATATATGCATGCCATGAGATACAGGAAGACTTGTCAACCCATCCCACTGCCTTGTGTTTGCAGGACGATGCCGGCACACTCTTCGATTCCAGTATCCCTACCGCAGGGGTGAGTGACCACAGCGAGATGGTGGGCAATGCTTCCACTGGTTCCGGGGGTCCTACGGAGACAACTATTGGTAACACCACCACTATCATGAGCTTCAAGTTTCTTGTTCAAAACATGGTGCAAATGTTCCCCAAAGTTTGTGAAATTCCACATGGCTATGCGCCTACCAAACCACATCCTTCTCCCAAATAAGGTTGACGTTTCCGACGGTCACACCATCTTCGACACCTTTATCAGTACTACCCCAATTTGTCGAAATCCTTGGCAAAAAGCTTGACAAGTCTTTGGCGGAAGTGGACCGCCACATGTTGTTGTCAATGTTTATGAGCTGCCAAAATTCATGTAAAAAATCTCTATGGTATGTACGACGCACCATAGCCATGCAGGAAAAGCTTCGGACTGTGAACACTACAGCTTCCAAAGCGCCCCTTGTCTAGATTTGGTGCTCTAAGGTTATTGGGGTATCACCATGGAAAATTTAGCTAGAAATACCAATGCATCCATCATCTTAGGTTGGCAAATCAGATCGGTGGAGTGATGGAGAAGATGCAGTCGAAGTATGAAGGCTTGACCCAGGCCTTGTCGGAAGCTACAGTTGCCCCGGAGTCCATCACAAAGCCACTAGGATGAGATTTAATATAATATGATTATGGAACAACATAACCATCACCATGTACAAAGTTGTCCCCCTCTATTTGTTACCCGATTTTTGTGATCTCTGCCTTAGGCAAAAACGCGAGTGGATTCAGTCGGAGTACGTCGAAGTGACGAAGCTGGATGTTTCGATGAACAGTTTGTTGATTCGCACCAGGCGTTATGGGGTCAGTTCATGACAAACACTCAACATGTTGAAGCTACACTGTGGACATCCTTGATAGCAAATTTGAAAAAATATGGATATGGCCACTATATATATGTGCATGCCCTCCAGGACCCTCCAACCGGTCAGCGCTGGGTGCCTCAGGGGAATCAAGCCGGCGTCCAGTGGGGCCTCAGCCGTTGGGAGTGAGACACCTGCTCCCAAAGTAAAGGCCAAATCCAAAGCGAAGTCAAAGAGCAAGGGCAAGGGGAAGAACAAGCCCGGTGCGTAGGGTTTGTAAAAGTCCAGCATATCAATTGAATGTGCTGCTTCCTTTGGGGTTTAGTGTGATTACACACTTGAATATCTGAGCCGCAGGCTGGTTGCCAGCAATTTAGAACTAATTGATGCAGTCCCTAAAAGTATATTGCTTTGGTTGATTGTTTGGGTCTGGCAACAGGCCGTGAGTCCAACACATTCAGATCCGAGGTCGATGAGCGAGAAAAAATTATGGTGTTTCAAGTGGGTCATCATTGGTGAACCTTTTGAATATATGGAAGGCTGACCAAATAAATAGACAGCTGACAAAACCTAAGATATCCAAAGATGCATCTTGATTTTTGTTCAGGCTTTTAAACCACCAGTTGCCCTAGCTGCCTAGTACCAGCCATGCCAGGTCATCGCGAAGATGATGTGTTGCGAGGTTACTTGGCATGATGCGCATTTCCATGACTTTGGATGTTCTCTTCAACATGGGCCCCAAAAAACATTGGCAATCCTGTGCAGAAAAAAAAATTGGTGTTTCTCCATCTTTGGAAACCATGCCCCATGTGACTAGACCTTCATAATGGCCTGGTGTCAACACTGCCTAAACACTCTGAGCTGCCCAGGCGTTGATTCCAGCTCTTCAGATGACCTGCCAGATTTCTTGGTGGACAGCTTGGCCAAGGGCGTTTCTTGGCTAAAGCCGTTTTGGGGTGCACCATTCTCAATGGGGAATTAGTCCTGTTAATTAATATGTCAAAGCCAACAACATTATATAGAAGGAACCCTGGCAGGGCAATTCCTTTTTTATTTGGTTTCGGGAAACATTGTTGACATTCTTAGACCCTTAAACCATAATTCCGACATGTTTTCTTATGCATGGTTTACATCATGGGCCAAGGAAATCCAATATGGGGAACTGATCATTGGGGAAGTAATGACACAATGTTGCCCAAAAAGAAAATGACAATAGTCGCATCCTTGAAAATAAATAGCGGTCTTTAAATGGTGTCCCAATATAACCCAGGCTCCTGGCTTCATTTTTTATGGAAGGAATTAAAAGGAAGTAGGATGCAATGTGAATCTTTGATGTTTTCTCTCTCAGGCTCCTGCAAAAGATGTGGTGACAGGGGCTCGCAAAACACAGCGGCTTTTGACTCGCCACGGTTTCCCGACTACAAGTTCACAAGAATGTTTTATTATTTAATCCCTCAAAGATAATAATGACCCCAAAAACTATTTTCCCAGGTGCTTGGAGAATACAGCCATTGAGGTGTCTAAGATGGTAAAGTTGCACAGCTTGCTAGCAACAGTTCCTATGACAAACATGGTCGAAATGTGTCTCGAAACCTCCACGTTTTCATCCACAGAAAAAAGAAAACATTCCCTGTCAAAATTGATGCAGTAGAGACCCCCATCAGATCGACTGCCCGGGGCAAGAAAATGAATGTGGCGCAATGGCCAGTGATGTATCTATCTGAATGGATGAAAGCTGCATTCAAAGACTCCTCAGAAGGTGCTTTTTTTCTTGGTGGGTATTTGCTTAGTGAAAGTTTGCCCGCCATCACGTCCATGCTCACTGAATTCTGGGACCACCACCAGTATGTCGATGCCACGCCAGCCAGAGATCCTGGCCGGACAATTCCGATCTATATTCATGGGGACGAAGGCCGGGGACAAGTTAAGAGACCGGTGATGGTGTGTTCCTTTCAGCCCTGTATTGGTTGGGACTACAACGGCCAATTGAACTCAAAAAAGAACCTTACCTGATATCTATGGCTCAATTTAAGATTTTCTTTCAGCCCTGGTATGAAGTAAGTGGTTTCCTTGCTTGTCCCTTTGGCGTCATCCTGGTTGCTAAGGAACACGTGGACAACACGACTTCTCTACACAACGATTCCCTCTGAAAATTACGCCCCGAAAGGGAAAACTCTGCAGACTCTTTTGGCGGCCATGGTCAATGACCTGAATGCTTTGTATGAAGATGGGATAGAGGCTCTAAGGGATTTATGAGGGTGATGTCTATATCAAAGCCATCAAAGATATATCATGTAAAGAGTGACCTGGGGTGATTTTACCATAATGGAAACTTGCGGTGTTTTCCATAGCCTCTGGCCAACATCTTTTGTAAGATTTCTGGTTCCAATAATTTAAAAATCCAAGAGCATGTGGGGATGTAAGCAGCTTACTGACATGAGGCCAGAATAGAATCACTAGAACTTTGGTTTTGCCAGTAATGAAATTGCGATTCTAAAATGCATGTGGCCCTTCCCCTGGAGGTTACGTGCAAAGGTGTCAGGCAACATTTCTATGTCCAGTTCCTTGGGACAAAGGGGGATTGGCCTTGGCTGCGAGCTGCATACCGGTTATATTCCGGGTTTACATCGACCAGAAAGTGTCACCTTTGTCCCATCAATGACCCATGGTTCCATGTTATGCAACCCTTTTATTTTATCAGCATGTTGGGGCATTGCAAAACGGTCCCTGATTTTTCAATAGGGTTCTTTCTTGCCCATGCTAAGGATTGGCATGACTTCGGGCCATCTTCTGAAACCAGGCGTTGGCCTTCCAATGGGCATAACCCTGACCCTTGGCACAGAGGCCCACCAGCATCTTTGCGGGGGATTTTACCAAACGGTGATTCTCCGAGTATGGTCAAGGTTGACCTAGCCCACACATATGCCATAGCAGGATGGGGGAAAGATATGCTTGCTTCCATGCTAGTTTTCTTGGCAAACCGCTGCAAAGCTTGGGGTGGTACAAACATTGATGTTCAGCTGGATGCAGCCTATGATTCCTTCTTCGACTGGTGCGTGGCAAACAAAAAGACTTCCACTATCAAATCGTTTTGCAAAGAGGAACTCAAGATCGTCTCGATCCTAGCCATCAACAATGTACAATTTACCTCATTTCCCACCTGTTAGAAATAGGGTTATGTTTTATTTAGGACAGGATCCATCATCCATGCCACCTCTCCTCGCCCAGGTTGACGCAGTTTCCTCGTGGACTTGGCAAAGGCAGTGATGCTGCCTTGGTTGGCGGGTGGTTACAATCTGTCCTTGAAAGGATGACCCCTGCTGATGTCCCTGCACCTTGTTTCTCACAACCCATCATTTTTGAAATTTTCAAATTATATCGTTCTGTTGATATCTGGGATAATATATCGTTATCGGTTTTCTTCCTTAGAGACCCCCCAGGAAAACACAAGACCTCCAAATTGATTGGCCAACCAGTGGGCCCTCACAGTCAGGATATGTGCAAAGATTTATTCAATGTGATCAAGTGGGGCTGCAAAGCTGCAAATGATTTCTTCCGGGGTGTTTATTGCGGGCGCCTGTGGCTCACAAGAATGGAGGCGGAGGAATGCATCTACAATGGCTGGGCCATGTGTGACCCTTTGTTTGCTTTATACTTCTATACATTTTTTTTGGTGAAAAGAGTTTGCTGCAGCTACCAGCTAGCCAATGACATGAGAATGATTCTAGCCACCTAGTCATTTCCAAGGAAGCATATGGGTGCTGCAGCGTTCTCTCTTCGGAGATCGGGTGGGCTTTATTCTATGTGAGACCAAAAATTCACATGTTCTGCCATTTGCTGCTCCTGAGCTGCAGTGCTAGTTTCCTGCTGTTTCTTCTGCGGCTCTTCTCTATGTCCTAATGTCCTAATGTTTCCTTGCGTAGCCAGGCTGACAATGGAATACACCTTGTGCCATCCGTCAGCTCAGTATGCACTCAACCCCGCCAGTCGCGGGCTTTGTTGACAGTTGTTGAGCTTGGTGGGGTATGGGTTGCTACATGTTGCTACAGCGTGCAATGCTGTGTCACTCAGGCTGTGCATGCTGGTCCGATGAGGATTTTATTGGTAGGGTCAGTAGGATTCACCGCCGATCTTACGGCATGAATGTCAATCAAGTGGCTTCAACCATGAGAAAGAGTTTGATCCAGTACAAAAGTGAATGGCAAAAAGCCATGAAAGACCTCAGACCGAGGAGATAGCAACTAAGTGCCAGGCTACTGCTAGCCACGAAGAACGTGAAGAAAAAGATGTCGGTGTGTTGCAGGGCTGATGTGCGGGCAGGTGGACAAAGTGGGTCGAACACTTTTTTCTCAAACGAGCACAAAAAAAAACGTACAGGAAAAAGTGTGCAACGGAAGCTCTAGGCATATTAGGTACATTACATGGTATTACAATGTATTACATGTATTATGCCAAATGACAGAGATCTTTATTTTTGAGGCCCGGTTCAGCTGCGCCGCGTTCGACAGATGCTCCACATCCAGGGAGACCTTCTCCATTGAGCTGGTGAAGCCCGAACGTTGCCTGGCCATGGCGCCATGGCGCTGAATTGCCCAAGAAAGACGTCATTTTGATACCAGTTGCTGGGAAATTGCCACTTAAATTTAGCTGAATCCTTTTTGGGAAAGTTGCATGATGTTGCATGAATCAGCATGTTTGCCGAAGAATGATGAAGAACATCTGAAGACATGATGAAACCAATGGGATTTGGCTGTTGGCCCCAGCGTTGAGCTCCCTTCCTGGATCAGAAAAGTGATGAAAAGTGCGGCCCAGGAACCAGAAGTCGGGTTTTTTCTTGCATCCACATTTTTTCTTGGGACATTTTCCACCTCAGCCCCAGATGAAGTCAGACAGGTCGGCTTTTCGGAGCTTTCTGACTGCTGCAGACAAGCGACTTATGCAGAACCTCGGCTCAAAGATCATGTCTATAGTGACCATTAAAAAGGATGCAGAAAAAAAGCTGGATTCACAACAATTTCCCGCTGTAATTGTAAGATGTTACTTCCTACCTGTTAGATCTTTTTGGGGGTTACTATAACTGCCTGATGAGCACATCACAGCTTGACAGCACTCTGAAGCACGAAGTAAGGAGAGGGCCATCCGTAAGAAGATGTGTCGCAGTCGTTGACGCAATTTTTGAAAAACGAGACAAAACCACCTTAGCTCAGCTTTGCTCAGCTTAGCTCGTCCAGTTTCTGCAAGAACTTGCAGTTTTGCTGCAAATGCACAGCCAAAACAGAGCCAAATTGTCCACATTCCACTTTTGCAGAAACAGGGGAGCTCATCAAACAACATCCAAAGCAAATGAAAAATGCAGGTTTCGATCATCTTTCATCAGATCATCATGGGTTTATATGGGTTTCATGGGGATATCTCCAACTTGGATGGTTCCAAGTCAGCAGCCAGGGAGCAGCCATGGCAAACCCAGGAATGTCGAGCACCACAGGCGGAACAGTTGGCGTTGGAGCCGGCGTTCACCGTGCCGCAGCTCAACTGCAGGGGGGCCCCCGGTTTGCTGGTCACAAGAACTGGGGCAGATCGTTTGGAGACCATGGTTTATGTTGGATATATCTATACTTACTATGGTTTATAAACCAACTTATAACTGGGGGGGCACCACCTTGTTGGGCATGGTATGGATCAAAAGTGTTGATATTGCACAATATAAAGAACACCAAAAAAACTGCGATGGCAAACGAAACTATTTTTTTGCTAAAATATATGACCAATTTAGTACGGGTCCATTGCTACCCCATTTATGAACCATACCCATATGCTGATGTTTTTGGCTCAGTTTGCATCGTCCTACTTGTATCATCCGTTGCGCGTTTGCATGCGTTTGCGTTCGCATCTGACCCAGCCTCCAGCTTTTTCCTCAGAATGCTTTGGCGCAGGCAGGGTTTGTATGTCTTTACTGAAAAAAACAAGTCATGGAAGCTGGTGTTTGAAATGTTTGAAAGAACCAAATGCCGAGTGACGCGATGCAAAAGTCTTTGACGTCAGAACTCATAGCTGACATGAAAGCATCCAACTTCTTTTGATCTTTTGCTTCGTCCGATCTTTTCCCTGAAAACGGGACAATTCAGGACTGAAAACGCTTTGGAAAATCAGCACCAAACACGCCGCTGGCTCACAACTAGCCGCTCTAAAAGTAACCACCATCCAAAACTCTCCAATATCATCATCCGATTTCACCAAATGGAGGTTTTCCTAAATTGGGTGTCCCCCAAATCCAAAGTTGAAGCAAATCTTCGACCATTGATCATCCCAGGGTCTGTGAAGTGTGAAGCAAATCTTCGCGTCTTGCTCCTCCTGAAAGTTGCGCCATGGCTGCCATGGGGTCTCGGACCATGTTTTCCAGGGATCCCTGATAAAATGCTGGATCACAAGGACATCCATGAAACCAGCACTTTCGAATCTTTCGATCTGCTGATTTCAACATCAGCTGATTCTGTGGTCGTCCTTGGCCTTCTTTTTCATTTTTTTCTTCTTCAGGTTCTCACCCGAGAGCCAGGAAACAAATTCTTGGATGTCCTTGGCGCTGGAAACATAAAAAAACACCCCTTGGAAACCCAAATGTTGGCGTCCTATGTTCAGACAAACCCCATATATGGCCTATAGAAATCTATAGAAGTCTAGAGATGGACGAGATGGGCTGTTCATTGGTCATCGTTTTTCTTCGTTCTTCCTGGCAAGCATCAATGACACCATCACCATTCACGTCAATCTCACCCATCATCTTGGCGAGCGTGACCTACATGGCAGTAGTTGCGTGGAATGATGCCGAATGATGCCTGGGGGTTCTGCCGTATACACCATTTCCACAGAAAATCACAGAAACCATCACACACCCATATCACACCCATATTAAAAGCAAGTAAATGGGATTGTTCTGTTTTGGGAAAAAAAAACGCGAAACAACAGCGGGATGTCAAATTCTCCACAAAAAAACAAGATAACCCTTCGCTCGTCGTGTCACCATATGTCATCCCGTCGCTCCCAGGCCTCAGTGAATTTGGGATTCACGTGCTGCAAGACATCCTTCAATTCATCGGCAGAGACGGTGCCATCTCCGTCCTTATCCTCGGTGCCAGGTGAGAGAGTTCTCTGCTAGTGGGTCACGAATCATCAAATGCCACACAAGTTTGTCATTGGAAAACAGAAAGGGAATATCATAATATAATATAATTATATCATCATCAAGTGCCACTTATATCAACTTATATCCTTTTTTAGGCAGATATTTGATGTTTCATGCTGCCAGCCCCGGCCACTGAAAATCTTGCTGTCAAGCAGCCCAGGCCAAAAAGGTATCAACCTGGCCGAAATTTGCCCATGTTTCATGGGGTTTCATGGGGATTCATTGGGTAGATATCCATAGATATCCATAGATATCCATAGATATCCATAGATATCCATAGTAAGTATGCCAAAAATAGGGATATCAACATATTGTATCAACCATTTTTCAAAAGGTGAACCCAAGTTCGTAAAATCCCAAATCATAAGCATCCCAAGTTTTAGGGCTACCCAATGACTTGATCATCTTGACCCATCCTCTGGCGTTGTCTGGGAATCGTGTAGCACCATGAGCAACAGCCGAACTGCAGATCTGAGTCCCCGAACCAGTTGGCCCAGGCCCTTGTCATCGCAGTCAGCGACCTCATGGATACTGAAGTTTAAGATAAAGTTGACTTAAGATTACCCATCTGAAATAATAGATTGATATAGAATAGATTGAATAGATTTGAATAGATTGACTAGATTGCTTAAATCTGAATTACAGATGAATATAGGCAATACATCTCTATTTCCGCTGCAATCTGCTGACAACAAAATCTCCCAGTGTTTGCACCGTTTCAGACAAGAGGTGGTGACATTGGAGGCCTCCAAATGAAGGCTGATGGGGAAGTACTTTGACTCCAGTGTTGCAGTTTTGTCCTTCAAGATCTCCCTGATGGCAATCTCCTCTCCACTTGCATTGGTCGTGTGATATTTCAAACCTGCGCGGCTCGCAACGCAAAGCTTTCATGGAATCCAATGGCTTCCTGAAGAGCCACATGTTGTCAAAAGTAATCCTAGTTCTGCCAGCAGTTCTTCTTTTCCCAAGTTCCGCCACCTCAAATCTTCGCTTTCTGCAACAAAACTGACAAAAAACCGCGGGGTGGCTATGGCTGACACAGCTGACACAGGTAACCCATGGTGCCACCGGCCGCAGCAGGTCGCCTTCCTCCTCCTCTTTGAAGCCACGCTTCTTCAGCAGCTTCGAGACTTCGGCCTTCCAGTCCTCGCTCCAACTGACTTCCTCTGCCTGGGGATGGATCGAGATGGATCGAGTAGCGAGTTACCCGTTACAAAATCCCAGCTGCTGAGTTACTTCTTGTGTTATAAATGTGTTCTAAATCCCGGCTACATGAACAAAATCTAACGAACTAACATGTCAACATGTCGTTGGAGATGGGATTAAATTAATATGATAAAAAAATACGGTCGCAATGATTCGCTTGTTCTGTATCCAAGGTGCCTCTCTCTGGATCCCTTTCTGGTACGTTGCCTTCCTGACGTTGCGCTGTGCAAACAGTGGGATCCAACGGAGAACGTCATGAAACAACCAAAATCGACCAAATAATAACATATCACCATCTAAAATCCGAATCTAGATCCAATGAAGCCCATATAATTGATATATCAGTACATATATATAAATACATCATATATATAACATATATATATATACATGATATATGAGTTATAATATTAACTTGCCCTTGAGAAATCAAACAACGTTGCCACTTCTGCAGCTTGGAGGCACTTGATCCAAAGTGGCCAGGGTGTCAGAGACCAACCGTCCAATGTCTTGATGGTTCACTTCACCTAGGTCTGGATCCGACCAAAAATTCGATGGGGCCATTGGCCCATGGTAAAAACCCTCATGGCCCATGAAACCAAGCGAAATTAGGGGATGGGTCAAAACCCATCAAAACCCTGGTGAACATCAAAATAGCTGGGATTTATGGATGTTCATCCCCCTAAAAATGGTATGTATAGGTATTGATCCATAGCCTTATATTCTGAAATTGCCTGGACCCCATCCGGACCCCATCCATTTTATGGACCAGGGCATCGCTCTGCTGCGAAGTGACCATCGCGATCTTGGTCACATTTGCTGTACAGCTCTTCTGCGACCTTTTTCGAAAAGCCCGCCTCCATCCTTAGAATTGCATGTGACCAAAATACGCGACAATGACAAACGGCTATCTGGTTGGGAAATTCGAGGCTTGGTCCCCCATAGAAAAATGGAGCATATGGATGCAAACCAGAGCTCCAAACCGTAAGCACTTGATAGCCAAAATGTGACGAACATGTCCCCAAGACTGGAAAGGACCAAAAGGATAGAATCGTTGATCCTCTTCCAAGTATTCAAAGTATTTGGAGGTCTCAATCTGCCAAGGGGCTTTTCTTTGACGAAAGCATCCTTAGGCGATGCTGGAAGTGGACAGTTCCACCGTTTCCCCCACCACAACTCACCGTGCAGCTGAGCCAAGACGCTCGACTTAAACGCAAGCCTTGCTCTCGTTCTAACTGTCTCTGTGCCTCCAAAAACAGTGGCGCTGTGGAAAATCGGGATATCAGTAAGTCCTCAAATGAAACCTTTATTGTTGGGGGGGTAGTAAAATCTTCAATGTGGATATGTCTACACAAAATCCGTCTACAGGGGTACGAGTAGCTTAAGTGTCGTTGGAGAAAGCAGGTGCTGGGCTTGTTCAATGTCTTGGAACATGCTAAAGCACCTGGATGTCCCATTTTCCCAGTACTCAACAAGCGTCCCAGTAATGGTTTAGTGACACCTTGTATATCGTTTATCAAGTATATCCCCAAACATACCCACACGTTTGCAACATGTTAAAACCCTAATGATGACATATTCACTGGTAAATCAAGAGTTTGCGAACTGGAAAATCAGCATTCCAAAAAACGCTGAATCATCGCACCTTTTTTGTGGGCCATAGCATAATTGGATGTTCACTAGAACGGAGGGTTAGCGTGTTTTGCTACTGTCATTTTGGGCTCAAGTCTTTGCCCATTTTGATTGTTGGATACTGACGAAATCGTCATAATGCCCATTTGCAATTGGGCGCTCATATTAGGGCTAGTTTCCAGTGTAGGTTCCCCTTCTGTGTATGGCCTGCCATGGTACCTGGATGTCTTTCATGGGATGACTGGATCTAGGGAGGAAGAAGTCACCAATGGGAAAGATCAACCCGAAGTATCAGAAGGTCAGTCCGATCCCACGAAGGAAAGTTCTCAATCTGGAATCCCGTTTGAAGGAATAGCCCATGTGTGGGGATACTCTGTCCTCCACTTTGATTTCCGTTCATGGATAGGCTCCTCATGGTTCAGCACACCAACAGCACCTGGAACCCTGAGCTCCTCAGGAGGGTGGGGATTGTACTTCTTGGATCAGCTGGGGGTGTGGACATGCGGAGATTTTTGGCCATGGGTTGCCAGATGTTTGTTAAGTGCCATCGTGGTTTTGGGAGCAATTTTGATTCTCTACTTGCTATTGGTTATCTGCCGGCCCTGTCAAGCTTTCTGCAAATGTTGCTGCAGACAGACCAGAGCAGTAGCCAAAGAGGTGGGGGAGCTCCTCCCCGAACTTAGACCTGGGGGCACATACGAAAAGCTGGATATCCGTGGACCCGCCTCTAGCGGGGGCGTCGATTCCGAATTCTACCAACGAGGCGTCAAGGGTCGAGGTTCAGAAAGAAAACCCAATGACGTAGCTGTTGTGGTGAATGACCAAATAGCTCGCTTGAAGGTAGACGGGGATCATTGGGCACGTGTGGATCGATACGGGTTATGGGTTCGTCTCCGTGGAGTGAAGGGTTCCACGTCGAAAGCGCTTCGCCAAACGTTGGAACAGGAGGGGAAAATCCATCTCTGTCGCGAGCAGCGGTGTCCGCTTGAATTGCAACCAACACCCGGTCTACATTGCAAAGCTTACGCTTCGGTGGATGCCAATGGGCTGGTGGATTTGGGAGCTTATGCAGGGTGGTCCACCCGCAGGGTGATCGTCTTGATGGGTCGATGGCTACGTAGAATGGTGCGGGGGCTTAGTCTCTGCGTGTACTATCTGACGGGATGGTTCATTCTCAGACAACTCTGGGCAAAGCGGACGCCACCCAGAACCATAGTCGAAGGAGCCGTCGTCAGACCCTTGGATGCGGAATCTGAATCTGAAGTAGAGGTACAAGATGACCCTTGTGAGGCCGTATTAGTCGGTTTGGAACATGGAGGCAAACCGAGAGCATTGGCCACAGACCCATGTGCAGATCGGGCTATCGGAGAGCCGGTCCGGCTCCTGGAGAGGGACAGAGAACTCTCTGACGTCAAAAGGAGATCCTCCGTCAGGCTTTGCGACCATCATCGGCAGCTCTACGTGGCGGCATGTTCAAGCCGAAAATGCAGCGTGTTGGCTTGCTACGAACAGGTTGATGGTGCCAAACAGGGAGTTCCCCTCTGCAAGCACCACCTGACGGACCTTGGTGGTTGTGCTCGCCCTACCCGCAGGGTTAGCTGGACACATGAGAGAGATAGCTCCATTGCACGATCCGAGGCATCTATGTCCGAAGGAGAATGCCTCACCCCTGCACGAAGAAGCCGCCGGATCATCTTTGACGGCGCTGAACGACTTGGGCCCAGGGCTGCTTCGGCCGATCCTAGTGAATCCCAGAAGAAGATTGAAGGCAAGCTTGAGAAGGGCCCGTGCATGGTGCTCCTCAGACCAAAGTCATTACAAACCGCGGAGGCCCCACCCAGGTGGACTGCATGGTTGGGGCGCATCGAGGGGTTCGCCGAAGAAGGGCGCAGCCAGGAGCTGCTCGAAGTCCACATCCCTTCCTTGAAGCAAACGTGTGTGATCCACAGAAGGCTGTTGAAAGGGTCCCCTCGAGACAACGGGGCGGGTCGAATTAGTAAGCATTGGGTGCAGAAGTTCCTTCAGCATACCCATGACGAAGAAGTCGGCCAAGGGATATCGGTCTTGGTCGCGCGCCTGTCCGAAGACCAAGCAGCGGCCCTGAATGCCTGGGACGGTGAGGTGACGGATGAAGGAGCGAAGCCAAGTAAAGCCTGGCAGGGGAGACTCTACCGGGAGATCCTCCCACATGCTGATGCATATTTGCGTGAAGAAGCTGAGATGTCCGACGACTTTATGACACCGCCAAAGCCGAAAGTCGAGCTGGAAGAGGGTGCGGGACCGGCGATTCCACCCTTCCCAGACCTAGATGATTCAGATCGCCAGGGAAGAATGGAGGCGGCTCGAAGAGCTCTTGACCAGCACATTGAGGGAGAGATAGATTCCGAAGTGTTGCAGACCGTGGCCACTGCCTTCGACCTAGATCATGAGCAACTGGCTCAGTCGATGTATGCGAGGAATCACCGCCTTAGCTACTCGAAGCCAACGACACCACCAGGATTGGGAGCCGACCAAAGCGAAATGGAGTTTGCAAGAAGACCCGTGACGGCAACTATGCCAGGAGGAGTGACCGTAAAGCCAGCAGTCCCCCGGCCGGCGAATCCACTTCTGCCGAGGAGCTCCTCCTCAATCTCCCCGGTCCAGAGAGGTGGATTGTCGCTCTTTCCCAAGGGGTCAGGCGGTCGAAACAGTCTCGTGAAACCAGCATCGGAGCAGATGCCGGAGGGCAGAGCAGGAGCCACGTTCGGAGAAGCCCTCGGAGACAGCACACAAGTCCAGAGCGCGGACCGCATCATTCACGCCATCGACGGTCTGAGAAGAGCACAGGATGACGACAAAAACCTCACGAAAGGGACCTTGAGTTCTATCAAAGAGGCGGAGAAGATGGACGTCTTCCTGGCACGAGGCTGTGGCACCCTGACCGTTGAACTCGCACCGGGAGTGTACGGGAAGGAACTTTTCCACGCGGGGAAAAGGGTGGCAAATCACGCTCGCCATATGCTGCACTTGATCAAATGGCCGGTGCTGATGACCAACAGGGTCCTACTTGGCATCGCTGGTCTGTGGTGGGGTGGCAAAGACACCTATACCTTGCACGCAAGTGACTGCGTTACCGCTCGGTCCGAGCAGTTGGACAGTTGGAATCCGTCCTCCGACAACAAGATCGAAAATCGCATGAGACCACCAGGAGTCTTCAACACTTGGCTCAGGTACGCGGAAAACTCAGTTCGCGTGTTTGGATCCTGCTATGGTACAGAGCATATCCAAGAAAGGCTCGATTGTCTCCAAGCCCTGAAGGAGGCCCATGAAGAAGACGAGCATGCCTTCCCAGCTGCCTACTGCATCGAGCTCTTTGAGGAACTTGTCGCGGCTTGGTGCGAAGAACTGCGAGAAAGCAGAAGGAAACTCTGCTCTCTGCTGGGGACCGAAAATCCACGGCTTGAAGACCTGAAGCTGCTAGCTTTGGCGCCGGGAGCGGATGGGCAAGCAAACTTCCAGTTTCCAAGCATATGGGATCTGGGCGACCCGAACGGATATTACCAGACAGTTGTGGTACCCAGGCAGCAAAGGCAAATGTCGAGGCTGCTCCACAAGCAGCTGCACGACCACAACCTCAAGCAGAAGAAGACAGCTGGTCCAGCTGAAGATGAAGAGCCAAGGACAGGGAAAGCCCCAAAGCTTAACCTGAAAGACAAAGAGGCCGATGGATATGCGGGCGGCAGCATGAAATCAGCCTACCCAGCTGGAAAACGGCTTACACAAGGAGAAGCTTCACGGTCCGTGGAGCACGCACCTAAGGATCCCAAGACCAACAAACCTATCTGCTGGGATGCGGCCACACACATGGGATGCACAAGAGGCGACAAGTGCCAGCACGCGCACGAGCCTTTGCCGGGATTGGCCAAACTTGACTACACAGTTGCCATGCAGGTCATTCGAAGAGGAGGACTCAAAGGTGGGCCGAAAATCGATCCCAAAGAGGTCGACGGAAGGGTCGCTCAGCTGCGAACCCAGGCAGCGGCGGATAAGGCCGACAAGATCCAACCTAGCAAGAAAGCGAAAGTCAAGCCCAAGCCAAAGGCCAAAGCTGGGAAGGAAGCTGAGGGTAAAGCTGAAGAAGACAAGGTTGGGAACACCCAGTGGGTCGCACCTGAAGACTATGATATCCCTCTGACCCATCTCGAGACTGACTTGCAAGAGGCGGTTCAGGGCCCAGATGAGGGCTGGCTGCGAATACCCTCACAACCCACTGAGCAAGAAGCCGCTCCGGCTTGGGATGACCAGAGCCAAGAGGAGCGGGAAAGGCTGAAACGATGGAAGTCGCTGGAGGAGAAAGGGGTTCTGGCGGCCTTGGAGTCGCCCACGGATTATCTCAGGTCCCATGTGATTGCACGCATGATGGCAGCACAAGATGAAGGATATGAACTGGAGCTGAACCGGTGTCTCGAAGATGCGGCAGAACATGGACATCCCGCGCTCTCTAAGGAAGCCGGACGTCAACTTGAGCTCCTCAAGCACGAGCCAAAAGCGGGTCACCAAGCGGATGTCGAATTTACGCCCATCACATGGGACGAGGGTATTGGTCATGGCCTGTTGAACTTTCAAGGAAACTTGT